CCCTTCTTGGCAAAGAAGACCTCGGGATAGAACTGGGATGGGAACCTGCAAGGTCATGAAGGCAGGACCTCGAAAGGGGCCTATCCCCACTGAAACACGGGAATCTGAGGACATGTGGATAGGTGGCTGAGATCTAAGGGGTTGCCTCAGTCCGAGGCCAGCACGATGGGGAATTGATACCCGGTATCTAAGCTCGAGCGATAAAGGATAAGCAATGCATTAATTGCGAAAGACATTTGATAAGACCCGCATTAGTTAGGGTGCGCCGTTACCTCCTTTGTCCAGGGGGCAAAGCGCCGCGGCCCATCCATCAATGTCTCATCCGTCAGAGGAAGAGACCATTAAACCTGTGGATAAGAGCGGGCTCAGCTAAAGGACCAAAAGACATTGACCGAGGAGGAAAACACTATAAATAGGGGTGTTAATCAGCCTTAAACACACACAACCACCACATTAACTCTTATCCTCTGACAAGCTCGAGGTTGCATGGTACCGAGGTCGGCCTTCCCTTTCTTAATCTCCATACCTAGAGAATCCCTTGTGTTGCGTGGATCTCCACTTGAATACTGATCTCAGATCTCTTGGCTTACGTGGAACGATCTCCTCATCCTTTTCATGAACCACCATCAACAGAGATACATTCAAGACAAATGCAAATTTCACTCCCAAATTTGGAAGTGAAACATTCTAGTTCTATGGATTAGTAATCGTTGGAAGTTCAATTTTGTACCAAACGATAAGTATGTCTCTCATATGTTGTCTATCACAGACGGGAGGAAAGAAATAATCGAATCTTTTGATTGAAAAAATGTTTACATAAGGTTGTTTTAATAAAAATATGTCACACCATTACCTCCATTCTCAAGCCTGGTTTCTTCAAAGACCATGCTGTTGCATGGCACACCTAAGTGACTGGAACCTCTCTCTGTCCTCCTCCAAGACCACCGGACTGAGCATTCAGAATATTTGGAATCCTTACAAAATAGGATTGATTATCGAAATTGATGAACATATAACCTCATTCACGATTATATTAGCAGTTAATTTAGGTTATTAGTTTGGGTTTGGGGCTGGGGCTCCTTTTTTTTTGGATCTCTTGTTAGCTATTTGGGCTTTGTTTCCCAGTAATTGAACTGTCAGTTTGCCCAAAGGCCCACCATGTAATTATTTTTCGTCTTGTTTAACTCCTCAAAAAAAATAAAAAAAATAAACAAAAAAAAAGAGTAAAATAAAATAAAATAAAAAGCAACAATGAAGATATACACTTTATAAAAATGAGAGACTTAATCAACAACAAAAATAAAAGAATCACAAACAAGATTAAAATTGCTTAAAGGGTAAATTTTTTCTGAGTGAATATGGACTAATATCATAATTATCAATTTATTTAGCTAACATTTTTTTACATGTATGACATCTCACAGGACAATGCAACTATCGCCGATTATAAATAAAAGAATCACATGTAAGAGTACAATGTGTCTTCTTCACTGGTATAAATGAAAATTTTACCAGAACAATATCTCAACAGTTTGAAAATATGATATTAAGAACACAAGATTACGATAATTATAAAATTCTCTTTGAGGGGCGAAGCTTTTCTACAAAATCATCCAAATAATAAGAGCCTATTTGCCTGAGCTTCCTAAAGGCTTTAAACGGGCTTCCAAACCCAAAAAGCCCGTTTGTGAAAATTTTAAGTGTTTGGCAAAATATTTGAAATTGATTTCCAATGAAATCGAAAGTCATTAAAAGTCCGTTCCAACAAAGCTTATGAAACTTGCTTTCTAAACTCACGTTTGGATAAGCCAATACCTCATTTTAAGTAAATAATTGCATAAACGATTTTACCCCCTTTTATTTCCAGAAAGTAGTCTATGCTAGTTACACAAGAATAACGATGCTACACAAGAAAGTGAAAGAGTTGCAGATCCCCTTCAAATTCTTATCTTGAAACAATTCTTGCGACTCTGGGAGTGCTTATTGCTAAATTTATGCAAAGTTAGGGTTTTGAAGACCGATCAACATATTTATTTGTGAAATTGGGGAGAAGCACACAAAAAATATACTCATGTGTTATCCTCCAATTCCATATATTAATATGGATTTTAGTTTAAGAGAATGAAATTAAGTATGGCTACACTCCTATTCATAGTATATATCATTCTTAATCTTCTTAATCTAATTCCAACGTTTGTCAGCCTGTTTGCCTCTACCATATAGTTCAAGTCTAAATCAATGTTTCAGATATGTTGCTCTCTCTCTTTAGATTTATGTGGGCCAATGAAGATTTTTGTGTAGAAATTCACCAAAAGTCTAGCAATTACAAATTCAACAAAATTCTCTAGCAATTACAATTGTAGAGAGACTAATAATCTAATTCTCTCCCTATATATATATTTCAGTTTCTGTTGACACCCATTTTGGTAATTGGGTTTGGGCTTCAATTGGACTTGATGATCAATGATATAGTAATATGGGCCATGAACATAAAGCCTGGTCAGTGATGATGTGCTAGGAGTTTGGGCCGAGAAGGATATCTGGGTCATGGAAGGTGATTGGATTGAAAGTGGTTTGGAATAACATTTTAGTTGGAATAAAATCCATTAGTGCTATACATGAACAGTGACGTGGCAGTTCTCATACAAAATAACGCTATATGCAAGGATGCTACATGGATAGAATGTTTTTGAATTTTATGCTATATGTGATTTATGTGTTTACTTGATTTTTGAATTAGTATTTAGTTAGGATTAGTTTAATTTGAATAATTATGTGGTTGTATTAGAATATAACTAGGATGCTTGTATTTAGGAATTTGTTTTACCATTTATTCTATAAATAGACAGAGAGGCACGTTGTACTAGATGTCCAGCACCATCAGAATCCTTATTATTATTTGTTTGCTTCTTCAAGCCTTTCTAAGAATAGCATCCTTGCTATTTCTTCTTCATCTCTATTTTTCTATCTTAATCTCTCTGTATCTCTTTCTTTCTCTTTTTCTTTCTCTCTCTCTTCTTCTCTCCTTATTCTTTCCTTTTCTTTTCTTGCTATATCCATTATCTCCCCCTTTCTATTCTCTCGTTACGTTACTATAATTTGTTTACAGAAAGTCTTTTTAACTAAGGCAATATTGAACTCATTTAGGAGTTTATTTGTTCTCTATCTCCTATAATCGCCTGAAGTCAACATTCCTTAAGAGACTATAAGTTGACAATTCACAATTGAACCATATATTTGGTTCTGGCACGCCCGCAACTCATCAATTTAAGATCGGCTCTAACCAGCCGATTTTAGGGTCAACAGTTTCCATCATCCAATTAATATTTTCAAGACCTATATTAATTTCCAACACCTGCAAATTCTCTATACTTTTCGCAAAGTCCATTCAGGCTCTTTATACGATGTATGATATGTTGGTATTGTTGTTTTGTGTATTCCTTCCTTTATTATTATTATTTTTTTGGAAGGTTTGTGTGTTTCTTTAGTTTCTAATTCTCTAAAATAAAATCTCTATATATATTTCTGTTTTTCTCACTCAATTTAACCTGCAAAGTAAAGTAAGAAATCTCTCCACTTGTCACAGCTCACTTAAATTTTTTTATTTATTTTTTTCTGTCAGGACTTAGGTTAGGCATATGATTTTTTTTTTTTTTAGATTATACGGAAGTTGGCATTGTATTTATCAATTTTCTTGTTTTATTGATGGGCTTTGCAATTCATACTCTTTATGCCTGGATGTACTCTTCGCTCTTTTCATGCAATTTAGATGATTAGAACAAAATAAGAGCATGTCAATTAAAATTAAAGAGCAAATGATTTTAATCTTTTTAGCTCCTTGTCAATATAACTCAATGCATGCGAAGACACTATGAGTTGGCTACATTGCTTAAATAACCGTTCCGTTTCTCTTCTTCTTCTTTCTTACTTGAATGTAAGAGCATGTAATATGAATTCAAATTGATAAAGAAAAATGAATAGAGTTTCTCCTCTCTTTTGATTTAATTGGAAATATATCCAAGTACAGAGCAATTTGCACAAGAAGTCCATAAGGATTCTTGGACTTGTTATGGATGTAAGGATTCTTGGACTTGTTATGGATGTAAAGATTCCTGGGTTTGTTGTGGATGTATGATTGATGATCACTGTGTTTTTCACCACTTATGATGCTCATCAAATAAAGAGGGAGGAGAACAACTAGTTTACTCACCAAGTCACCATTAGTTCCAGACCAAAAGTCAAGTAATTATTTTTCTCTATCTGAATATGTGAAATGAAGTGGTATATAATTTACGAAATTTTTTTTGTTTCTATTTGTTTGAAGATGAATTTTGTTTTTGGAAAAATTTGCTTTTTTATCATGCATATCTTTATTATCTCAACACATTATTAGAATATGTTAGAAATATTAATGGCAATACTCCATGAGGTTTTTTGGGATGACAAAACACTGGTGCTAATATGATTCAATAATTGTGTTTGAAGCAAGATACGTAAATGTTATATAAGGTTATTAGTGTAAACTTGTAATTATTTAATAGTAGAAGGACTTTTTCACACATTGTTACCAAACATACATCATGTGAATAAAATTGCTTTTCCAAATAAAAGCACTTTTCAACATGATGTTAGCCAAACAACTTTTTATTCTTAAATTTGTTTTTGCAAAGTCATTCTTGTAAGCCCTTTATAATGAAAGGATTTTTTGCATCAAGAAGCCTCACCAAACACAACCTAAAAAAATCAACTTTTTGGCTTTGATAGCCAAAAGGAACTTTTCAAAAGCCAATACAAACAAGCCTTAACACAAAACTCATACTATTTATGATTTACTGATTTTTATTTATTTTTTATTACGGTAAGTATTACAGATTTATTTATCTTCACAATTGCAAGCACATTTCATTTCACACTGAAAGTTAGCAGACGAGTAGTCCCAGTGGAGTAAAATCAACCGTTTGATACAGGGCATGATCTGAAAGTCTGAAAGTCTGAAAGTCTGAAACCTTCAGTATATGGAAAGCACTGAAGTAACATACACGTGCTTGCCATGGTCACAACAGACTCACAGTGATCACACCATAGGGCAAAGACCCACTTCACACCTAGACCATCAACCAAACAGTTTAAACCCTCTGCAACTCCTCGAAAAACCCTGAATTTTCGAAGATGAAGAAGACACAAAACCACATCTAGGAAATACGGTTAGAATCACTCTCTATCAACGCAAATAATGTTAAGAAGAAGGCTGTCTTCTTTGCTAGCAACTTCGATTCACAATGCTTCCATTTACAATTCCAAACCCAGCTCTATCGTCTCAAGGGCGGTATCATCACCACGTTTGCCTTCACCGTTGGTAGAAAATCCTAACCCTAATCCCAATTTCATCAATGGCAATGGAGTGTTTGCTCCTCGGGGTATTAGGGCTTATAGCCTTCTGAGTCTGAACGATTTGCAAGATAACAAGGGGGCAAGGAAGCAGAAGACGAGGAAGGGTCGTGGGATTGGGTCTGGGAAAGGCAAGACTGCTGGAAGAGGTCACAAGGGGCAGAAGGCCAGAGGCACCATGAAGTTTGGCTTTGAAGGCGGCCAGACTCCAATGCGTCGACGAATGCCCAAAAGAGGGTTTAAGAACCCCTTTACCCTCCATTTTCAGGTTTATTTGTTTGATCATTTATGGGTTTGGCTAGTTTTAGTTTTGTGCTATTTGTGGTTTGCCTAGTTTTAGTTTTGTGCTATTTGTTTGTTTTTTTGTTTTTTTCCTATTAATTTAGTGTGGAAATGATCAAATAGTTGGTTTTCTAAGTCGAATCATACAGACTCAGTTTTCAGGTTTGTTTGTTTGATCATTTATGGGTTTGCCTAGTTGATTAGTTTTGTGCTATTTAGATTTTATTTTTTACTTTTTTTGTGTGTGGAAATGATCAATACTTGTAATGTAAGTCGGATCATACAGACATTGTGTGCTCTTGATGTATTTTCTGTGGATCTAATATATCTAAGAGTCTAGGACCTTCTGTTTTTATTTTGTTTACGAGTCTGGGTATGCACAGTTTGGATACATGGATTAAGGTTTCTAGATATAAGAGTCAGAAATTGAAAGTGTGCATTCAGATATGTGGGTTTGATTTGGGACAATAGTTTTTCTACTTCTTTTAATTTGTTATTTGATGGTACAAGCGAGCATGAGATGAGTCAAGTTCAAGCTCAGCTGAACAAGGAAGCCAAGTTTGGACAAGGTTAACTAAGCTCACCTTGAGCTTGAGCCATGTCTGAACACCATCTCACCTTGACCTAGCTGATTTCGAAAACCAGATACTCAACTCTACTTGGTTTATTTGCACATTTGTCGCGATCAGTCCATAGTATTTTACATGACATTTTGAACACACAAGTTTGCGATGTAACATGACATCAATAGTTACTAGATAATACAAAAATAATTGCATTTATTTGCTAAAGTAATTGTCAAGATACATATTGAACCCAAGCCACATATATGGCTACTAGTAAGGAAAAGAGTTAACAAAGCCAATAAATTAAATATGATGGGAAAAAAAAAAAAGGTCGATTGATTCTGACCAAATCTCTATCTTCTCATGGTCCTGTAAAGCCGCATGAATTTTATCATGACTATAACCTCATAAAAGTTGTTTCTCTGTCCAAAATTTGACAAACGCTGGACTTGGCAGGTGGAAGAAAATGAAAGAATGAATGCAATAGCGTACACCCTTCATATTTATTAATCTCCAGAAGGACTCAGAATGTAGGTTTAATTTGTTTATCTTTCTTCTATTTGGAATTATGTATGCCTTTAAACAAGAAATAGCTGAATGTTCCATGGCTTCTCAATGAAGATGGATGCAGAAATGTGTTGTTTCTGCGGACCTTTTGGTGTGTGAGAGCTCTGGAATAGACTAATTATAGTAATGAAAAGATCCTTCAGCTCATTTTCATAGATGAAGAGAAATTTTATCTTGTGGTGACTCCAACATGTCATTGAAAGTTCTTTGAAGCTGGTGCACAACAACTATATCTAAATAAAAATTCTGGACGATGATTTAAGGCCAACCATAGAATCAGTGACGGAAAGTCAAAAAGACATGTTAAAAAACAAGTGGCTGACATGAGGGTGGTAGGTGGACAAGTGTTGATATGTGGAAGAGAACATCAAAGTAGCTTCAATAAGTTATAATGTAAAGAGGGCCAACTGAAATGCTTGGTTTGTGCCCCATGCATGGAGGGCCTATTATAGCACCATTAGTGAGTGCTATGGCACAAGTTGAAATAGCTCGATGGCAGAGGTAACTAGAAAGAGAATGAATGGAAACACTTGGATATCTAGAAGCTCAAAATTTAGGAAAGATATCTTCGTAGAAGTGAACCCATGTTCCAGTGCCAAGACTCAATAGATGATCATGATCTAAGCGGATGGACATAAGTTTACTTATTGATGCTCGTGATCTAAGCAGATGGACATAAGTTTAGTATACATGCAGCTTATATCCATATAAAATTTTGAAGATGATGAATATAATAGAAAAATATAGCTCATACCGGAAGCTCTTCCTCGCTAAGGAGGCTATGGTAGAGAAGAACTGCCTTGCTTATTTCCCTCACATCGTCCTTGCTTAACTCTACTTTCTCAGTTTCTGTTATTTCGTAAACTGATTCATTTCTTGTTGTTACCAAGTATCTGCAATCATTATCATACATCTTTGCAAACCGCTCAACAATGTCTTGTTCCCATACATCATTAAGAAGGATCAAAATGCTCTTCCTGTACAATGCTTCCTGAAGCAGGCTGCAAACATATTCAAGATCTCCACTGTCATCTTTCATCTTCTTCCAATATCCAATTTGCAAAAAAAATTTACAAATTTTTCTTGCTAAGCGCTTTTGGTATTCAGCTTTACTACCATTACAAGCAGCCTTACTGCACCATTGCCCAAATCCAAGTTCAACTGCTCCATCCACAAACTTTGTTGGAGGATTGGAAGCCACTTGACGAGCCAAACATGACTTTCCAATACCAGATAAGCCAACTATTAGAATGACCTTATGGGAATCCTCTTTCTCTAGTAAACTACTCACAAATTTGCACTTACTAGAAATTGGGTACCATTGATCCGTGTTTATTTTCAGTTGAACCGGGATGTTTTTCGCAGTTGATTCTATTGCATTCTCAACTTGTTCAGTCAATCTTTGAGATTCAAGCCACCAGTTCAAGTCATCTCTAATTGTCTTCACTATCTTCCCAAGTGGATCCACTGCTACAGAACTCCACACAACCTTAGCCAATTTCTTAATTTTACTCCTTGACACGATCCTTCTTGCCCTCTGGATGTTTGGATGCAGCTGTTCTGTAAGGCCATTTAAGCTTTGAATTTGGCGGTCTAGTTGGGGGTTTTGTAGCTTGTACATATGTTTATGCTTAATTCAGCGTGTCAAATTCTCAAGATCGCATACAAATTCCTCTATGCTTCGTATTCTCTTTGGAGCTTCATCAAGATTTCTAGAGGCCTGCTCCAGTGCACCAACGGCTCCTACCATACTCGAGACTATCTGTGTTGCAGAAGCAATAACTTGCAATGCATCCATTTGAATCCAAAAAAATACACCCACAACTAGTTTCTTTAAATCTTCTCCAATCAAATAACTGTACCCACAACATTAGACCAAGTAGCCACAAGAAGCTGCAATCAAATAATTGCATAATTTATCCCACGGCAGGCCTTCAAAGTGGCAACAATAAAAATCCAATTTCTCCAAGAATGAAAGGAAAATACGGAAACATTGCTGCAAGAAGTTTCTTCACAAAATCTCAAACATCAATTTTTGAGAAATATCAGAAACCCCCATTAATAAGATTGAAAAACCCAACTTGATAAAAGTCAGGAACTTCAAAAACCAGAATCCCCATTAGTGGCCCTATTAAGCTCTTGGATCTGGTTCAAAGATCATACTCAGATTTCCAAATATCTATAGAACTTCATCTTTCAACAGTGTGAGATTAGTTGAATTAATCAAGTTTACTATTAGATTGCAACCAAACTCCAATTTATTCTGATACCCAATTAACTCACATGAACTAACTGACCATCCAAACAACACAAACCCATCAAAACCACAATTTTCTTTAATACAATCTCAATAAGAATAACCCAGTTGTCAAATGCTCTCAGAAGCACAATCATTCAAATTTAACAGAGCAAAAAAAAGTTTTCAGTGTTCTTACCTTAAGAGGATGTAAATATGACTTTCAAGGAAGTCCCACAATTAAAATGGCAACTTTTACCATAAATTAGCATCTATTCCATGGAACAAAGCTTTTTGACATTGAAATGTAAAAGAACATGGAGACCAAGCAAAAGGCCAAAAAAAAGAGAAGGAATGATGCTCTTACCGGTCAACTTACAAGTGCAAAGCAATAAATCATACTGTATACATGTTGAGGACTCGGTTGAGGACTCGGTTATGTTACAGTCCAATAAAATATAATTTCTTGGCACTGTTCTGATGATTCAATTATAACTTTGTCCAATCAGTGACCGGCCGTGGTCACTGTACAGAGAACACACTTATGTGTTTGGGGATTTCTCATCTGTGAAATTATCTATTGGAGTTAGGTTCACTGTTCCATCTGAACTTTTGGAACAACTGAATTGGTTATCAGTTGCTCGTGATCTATGCTGATTCTTTTTACAGCCTTTTATTTTTTATTTTTGCTCATAAGAGGCCAATGAATGCATAAACTTAGTGAAAATCTCATCGATGATTGCTAGTCTAATTTGCATCACTTGGATGTGTCACCTGGGAGATTAAAATCCTCCACAGCCTTTATCTGCAGGGACTATTACTGATCTAATTTGCATCACTTGGATGTGTCACCTGGGAGATTAAAATCCTCCACAGCCTTTATCTGCGGGGACTCTTACTGATACAATGACTATCTTGCCAACTGTTGTAATCTTATAGGCATATTGCCTTTTATTTGTATTATCGATCCTGCAACGACATTTGTCTGCTTTTAATACATTCGCGTAGGAGTTTTGGCTCCAATTTGTATGTCTTGCTTGTCTGTTCTTAAACCAGTTATTATCAACCATTATAAAAGGGGATTTTGGTGCATTTTTTGTTGTTATATCCTTTTGATATAGGATATTGCAATGTTTACTTTTAAGGGAAAATTACGAGCTATGGTTATTAGAAATTCCTGCTTTCAATTCAAAGATTAAAGAAAATATTTTGTGTTCACGTCTTTCTATTTGAAGGAGGATTTTGGTTGTTACTTTCATTAAGTTCACTCATTGTTGTGGCAGCCAGTGGGACTAGGGAAGATTGCTAAATTTATCAATGCAGGGAAGATAGACTCTTCAGAGTTGATCACCATGAAAACTCTCAAGGTACTTACTTTCTTATCTGGATAATTTCCTTCACTCTTCAATCATATGCTTTTGTTAATAACCAATGCTATTGTTTTCCTTATAGGATACAGGGGCAATAGGGAAGCAAATTAAAGATGGAGTAAGATTGATGGGACGCGGTGCCGAAGAGATAAAATGGCCTATTCATCTTGAGGTAAGCCTAATTTATGTCTTTCTGCATGTTGTTTCTGACTCTTAATTTAACCCATATAACTTCCTTTCATGTAGTTTTGTTTTATTTCTAGTTTGTTTGTTTCCTTCATTTTCCCTCCCTAATACCGGATTTAGTGGTATGATATGACGTTGCATGAAATAATGAGATTTTTTTTGGGCAGTTTTTTCTTTTTCCTTGTCTAATGGGGATAAAATGTTTCTGCTATGCAGAACAAGTTGATATTGACAAAACTCTGAGTCACATGGACTCGGGTATGTGCCCAAGCATCAAATTTATCGTATTGCTTAGTTTATTAGAATTATTTAGACACTGGAACAGTGTTAAATATTCTAAATTCATATTATTAGTATATTTTCTTTTGTTTTTTGGAGTAAAATAATGCTTTTTGACAACATAGTGAATATACAGATTTCACACATTTTTAAAGCAATAATGCATTAAAATTAAATTATTGGATTTGCTTTTTAGATGCATGGATTACCAATCATGTCAAACACATTTTTCATACCCTAGCCCGAGTGTCATGTGTCCGATACAAGTATACTTTTGAAGGGTACAGAGAGTTCAAGATATTATGTGATTTTTAATTCAAAGTATAAATGCAATAAAAATAAATAAATCCCCCTCATGGGGGTGGGGTGGGGTGTTCATATTCTGTGTACATAAGTGTACAAGAACAACTAGCTAAGCTCCCTCTATACAACAAGATAGTTCCTAAAAACAATGTATCATCCCTATATATATTTTTTCTCTCTCTACTGCATGTTGTAAATGATCTAGCATAGTCAAGTTATATTATTGTACATACAGTACACACACAAACAATATATCATCCTTTAATTTCTTCCTTTTCTTTTTTCCTCCTTGCACTATGCCTCATTTTTTGTTTCAACCCTCACAATCAAACCTCTCAGATCAATCCATAAAATGGTTGTGAACCACTCATCCAAGAAATTCGGTCCAGCCCGAGAGAAAAAAAAATGTAGCAAAATTCAAGAAAACGGGAACAGAAAATAAACATCAAGAAAACGGAATAAAAACAGGGTCCACTTTTTAGGTAAAAGTGTGACCTTTTAGCTCTTTTAGGATCAATCAGATTGAGTGCCTATGATGTCCACTCTTGTCTCCATTGTTGGCTTTGTGCCAAATTTCTCTGACTCGCTGCCGTCTGCGGTGGAGGCACAGTAAAGGCTTTCAAAGAAGTTGGCATTGATGCCATTGACGGAAAAGCTCTTGAAGTGGCCGATGGGGGCCACTAGCTTTGCTTTGGGCTTGTACTTGTTGCCGCCAGTCGGAATTAACTGTCATGGTGGGGAGGTTAGCGGTGTTGGACTAGAGAGGGGGAGAGAGAGAGGATTTTCCACAAGTGGGTCATTTAGGGCAAGCCAAATGATGTCATCTGGCTTTTCCTTTTTCCCTTTCATAATCTCTATATATATATATTTTTTGTCAATTATGAGAAGGGTATTTAAGTCTTTTCAAACTTCCATTAACAAAATTGTCTTCCATGCATTGTTATTTTGACAACTATGAGAAGGGTTTTTGTCCCCCTTTATTACTTAGTTACTAATTATGTTAGATTAACTAGCTAATTATCTTCCCTGCGTTGTTATTTTGTGCATCTTTTGTCAAAATGTCTATATCATGTATTATTATAAAGTTCATGTGTATTGCGGTATGGTATGTGTTTTTTTTCTTCATATATATGTAGCGTTATGGTGTTGCTTTTTATAAAAATAACTCAATATTGTAGGAGAAAATTAGTTTCAGTCTCTTTAGTTTTGCTTTTACTAGTTAGAATTGTTTGATGTTATTTGGTGACTTATTCATATTTCCTTACTCCTTAATTTCACCCTAGTGTAATTTTGTTAATTCAATTAATTTATTTTGCCCATCTTCATTTATCACGGGTTCACGTTATTTTTTCAAGCGTGTTATTTATTTTTGCCTTTTGCGTTGTATTTCCTATATGTTCTCTTTCCAATCAGCCCAAATGAACTTTTTATCCTGGCTAAATGCCATCTCAAAGCATTCTGATTTTCCACACACACACAAGATCCCCCCAGCCAGTTAGAGGGTGCAAACCAAGTCATTTGAACTATTTTCCCATTTCTCCAAAGGAAAATTCCTCAAGTTTCGCAAGTCCCTTGGCAAAAGAGGCCAGAATGGTGAATATGAAGTAGGGCGAGCTTGAGAGGGTACTCTTGATAAGATTTAAGTTTGCCTCTTCTCCACAGGTATTGTTGGAGTATTCGCTCTTTCACTCTGTCAATCTCTTCTGAAACATCTCTACCACCTAGTCTCACGAGGAAGTTGCCTTAAAGAGGTGCCAAGGAGAACCCCAAGTGTGAACTGGGAAGAGATTACCAACTTGTGTCCCAAGTTCCAAGTTGAACCATGTCTCTTACCTTCCGAATGTGGATGGTTTTGCTCTTCTCTAGGTTCCGCATTGAATGTAAAGCAGGGTGCGCCACCTCATCTCTAAATCCCTGAACTCTTGTGTCCCCCTAGAAACTGATTGTATCATCTGCAAGTTAAAAGGTAGGAAACTACGGTAGAGATTCCTTCTACTACACCTGCATCAAATCCATCTAAGAAGCCACTATATTAGGCCTAGTCATTCTGCTGAGGTCCCTATCATCATGATCACAAATGGAGTTGATCCCTTGCCTTAATGACCATTGAACTGTCAAAGAAACCTGCTGGGAATCCAGTGATCAGGATAGAAATGTGAGCAGTCGAGATACACTCTCTGGTCCTTATTCTCCATGTAGCAAGCACACAGAATCCCAATTCACATAATCTTACGTCTTCTTAATGTCGAGTTTGGAAATTGGGCTGGCTATCTACCACTCAATTTGAGCAAGTCTTAACCAGCATATTACATGCGCTCTTCGCCAAACTAATGGACCTAAAACCCCTCAAATTCAATGCTCCTCCCTCTATTGAAACATGGCAATGAAGGAAGCATCCGACCTGTGTTTTAAGTCATCTACTGGATGAAACTAGTTAATTCTTCTAAATAAATTGGGTCTATCTTAGGAGTCCATTTATCCGTGGTCTTACAACTGGAATTTGTGATTGTGAACTTATTGACATTAATTTTATCTCACGATCTTTAATGTAGTTCAAAAGCATGTGACTCACTTTCTAATGCAACATAGAACTGTGGACATACACAAAGCTTATGTCACACCCCAAAACCATAGGGCGTGATAATAAGGTTAAAACAAAAAAAAAAAAAAATGGAACAGCAGTTCTCAACTTAAGAAAATTCTGCGCAGCAATTACTTAAAAATTCGTAGAAAATTCAATTATTGTCGAACTGAAGCAAACTAAAATTATTTAGAAACTAGACTCAGATTACAATGTGACCGAGCCACTCCCAGATGCTAGAAAAACACCAAGGAAAACAGGTTTTGGAAGGAAGAAGGCTCTCACAGCTTGTGCTGAATTGGAACCAAGTGCAAAACTTTGGCCTGCTTAGTCTTTTAGAAAGCCAATAAAAATTTTGGGCCTTAACCTTTAGAAACTAGACACTTGAAATAATAAAACTGGAAATTTTCATAATTTATTGATGTCAGGAAGGCCGTCAAATTCTTTTAAAAAATTCAGTTTCCAAACCGTGACCGGAAACCAAACAGCAGATGATATAAGATTTAGAAAAAAATATCCACCAATCAAAAAATTATAAAAATTTTGTGAGAGACTTTATACACAAAGGGGAATGTATGATAAAAATTTCACAGCATTTGAAGCACTACAACCTCTGATTAAAATTCATTTCCAGGCAAGAACTAGAGGAAATTTTAAAGCAGAATTTTTTTTTTTTTTTTTTTTTTTTTTTTTTTTTTTTTTTTTTTTTAAATAAACAAAAACCCTCTTAACAGAAATTCAGAGCATACCCCATGAACAAAACAACTTATATAATACATAGTTGTAACAAAGTTCTAAAGATGCTAAGAATATATACATTGCATAAAGTCATCCATAGAAAGATAATTTCCGTCCAAATTTGTACACCCAAAATAATGTGTCACAGCTCCGATGCCCAGTCACTAAGTACATATGCTACCATTAGCAGGCCATACACAAAACATCTAGATACAGTACCCAGTCCTAAAGAACACATAGCAGAGAGCATGTTGTCATCTTCACTCTAGCACAGCAACCACGACCTTAACATGGTTTCATAAGGCATCAAACATGAACAAAATAGTACTTAAAGCTAATATTTTACACAAAAACACCAAGCACAAGATGCTTCACAAAAGGATCCCATCTATGGGAACTCAAGCTCGGGTCTAGCATCGCCGTCCTGAGCACTAAGACCTGAAAAATAAAAAGGGTGAGACAATACCCAGTAGGAAAGCCTTTAACAAATGCCTCCATGAGGTTTTAGGTACATGATCTGATTTACATGAGAATCGTTGGCCAAGTTTCTACCAAGACCAATTATAACATGATGGAATTAAAAAAGTAGCTAAAAGAAAATCCCAGTTCCAAAACCATTTAAGAGTTAAAGTGAGTTAGTAAAGAGCTAGTCTTCATTTGGGCCTTTTGTCAAACAACTTTACTTCAATTAGAGTGATCCCAACTATCTCTCCCCCTTCGACTAGTAGGGATTCAACTCTGAATACCCATCTAGGGTCTACTGCTGCGAGTTTATGGTCTTTCACCAATGGGTAGCTCATACCCAATTGCTCACCCCTTTCACCCGGGACATCACCCTCCTAGTCCCAAAGTTAAGTAATAGAATAATTCAACCCAAACAATTGAAGACAACACAATTACAACATTCCAGAATCTAAGCAGAATTATTTTGGCGTAGAATTGATAATATACATTAGTCTATTAACATGCTAAGTTCTGATTGGAAAACATTTACTCGTGTAGAGTTCTGAAATAAAATCATAAGCAATACTTGTATGTAACCAAAACTCAGATCATGACCAATCATATGTATAATATCTTTAGCTATAATCAAGCATTTGACTACAAGAAAATCATGTACTTGCAGCAAGAAAAACTATAATTTCATGGAACATTAAATTGGGAAACAGAACTTTAAAAATAACTCTCAAGGCTACAAGAGTTAAAAGAATCCCTACCCAATTGAAGGTAACAACTGGAGGTGGTGAGATTAGATGGTGTGAGGGTAAAATGCCTACATTTTCAGCCTTAGTCCGAACCCTTTTTCTTCTTCTTCACTTTCTGTTCTTCTTTCTCTCTGTCAGACAACCCAGGCTGGGAGTTTTCTTTTTGGTTTGGCAAAAGTAATCACTCAATGGCCCTACCCATTTTATTTATTTCTTTATTATTATTATTTTTTGTTAACAACTAAATTCATCCCATGAGTAAAATAGAAAAATTAAATGAAACTCATGACTATAAATTAAATACTAGATCAAAAAAAAAATTATATACTAGACAATTAAGGAATTATAAATTGCCAACGAACCATGTAAAATAGGTAGAAATCAAGTTAATGACTTCTGATGCATTTAATAAATTCCAAGCAATTAGGGATGTACTAATATTGAAAATGCAACACATGAAATAGGTAGAAAGAAATTAAATCAAAATCATGTAATTCTGGTCCTAAACACAGGGAAGACTTAATTAAAATTTAAGGTTGTCACAGCTTACCTTACCATCTTCAATATTATTCAAAGCATGGAAATAACTCACTCTCTCATGCAACGTAGAACTGTACTTACACCTAGAGGTTACAGGTTTCGAGGGTGACTGTCAGGGCAAAGGCAGCAGTTGAAGCCGCGGGTGGGTCTGTCAGGAGAGTGTACTATAACAAGTTAGGCTTCCGGGCATTGCTGAAGCCCGAGTGGTTTGAAAAGAAGGGAAGGTTGCTGCCAAGAGCAGCTAGACCTCCCCCGAAACTGAAAGATAAAGTGGATAGCATTGGGCGCCTGCCAGCACCAACCAAGCCAATTCCATTTTCACCAGAAGAAGAAGATGCAATGCCTGTTTCCGCCTGATGACCAAGAAAAGTTTTGTTCCAGATTTTGTAAAACATTCATAAATTTCGGATATGTTTTGGATGTTAATTTATGTGGTTTTTGTTTTGGTAAACACTTGCTACGTGACTGTGGTTCAATATGCTATTATGTGAAATATTTAATCAAATGAATCTCTCTCCATGGGCATGTGCAAATTGATGTACTCAATAAGTATTCTGAGGTCCTGAAGTAATAAAATGGTAATGGACTTTAATCCGTATCTTACAATTATAGCTACATCGAATTTTGGTAAAGAAGTGTATTAAAATTTATTTTTTCCCTTTTTTTGATAGGTGGTAATGAAGTGTATTAATAATTTATTTTATTTTTCGAAGGTGTATTAATAAATTTTTTTTTTTTTTTTTGAAGTAGTGTATTAATAATCATATTGTATTTGTTTCAAATTTATTGTTGGATCTGATTGGCATCCCCTTTAAGTTAAATGGCGCCCGTCATTTTTTGACATATGGATCCCATATCCGTGTGTCAAAAAATGACGGCCATACAATAATAGAGGAGAAGGCCATGCAATTCGGTCTCGGATTGATAGGGGAATGTGTACTAATGAGTGGGTTGAGGCTTTCAGTCACAGCTCTGTTCATCATATAAGTGTTTCTGGTTCAGACCATAGTGCGCTCCTATTACATTTAAATGAAGACCTGGGACAAGTTCGAAAACAATTCATGTTTGATGCTCGTTGTCCAGATTTTAGTGACATAATGAAGAAGGCATGGGATGCTCCCATTGTCGGTTCCCCAATGTTTAGATGTCATGAGAAATTGAAGAATTGTAGCTGGCGATTACGTCAATGGAGGCAAGGTTCAGAAGACAACTCAGCCAAAAGAATTGCGAATTTACAGACTCAACTTCATGCAATGACAGGAGCAATCTTTTTATAATCCCTCTGCTATTAGGCGCATTGAATCAGAGTTGGGAAGAGCCTGGCAAGATGAAGAATTGTACTGGAAACAAAAATCTCGAATCGCTTGGCTTCATCATGGTGACCGGAATACAAGTTTTTTCCATAGGAAAGCTGTTGTTAGGAGAAGGAAAAATTGTATTTCAGGGCTTGAAGATCATAATGGCAATTGGATGGATTCCCGGGCAGATATCAGAAGAATTGCAGAACAATTTTTCAATACATTGTATTGTTCTCCTCATTCTGATTCTTCCAATGATCCATTTTGGAATCTTATTCCTAACAAAATTTCAGATAACAACAGAGGAAGAGATCAAGGGTGCTATCAGAGGTATGGGGGCTTTTAAAGCACCAGGTCCCGATGGGTTTACACCATTATTCTTCCAAGCTAACTGGGATATTGTTAAACATGATCTGGTGAGAGCGTTTAATTCTTTTCTTTTGAAAAATCCTACCAAGATCACCCAGTTCAGGCCAATTTCTCTTTGCAATGTCATTAACAAAATCTTTTCTAAGGTTTTGGCTAGTAGGTTTAAACCTCTGCTAAACCAGTTGATTAGTGATGCTCAAAGTGCTTTTGTCCCTAGGCGTTTAATTCATGACAATATTATGAATGCTCACGAGATGATGCATTATTTGAAATCTCATAAGAAGAGTAAATCGTGTTTCCTTGCCCTTAAACTTGACATGGCCAAAGCTTATGATAGAGTTGATTGGTTCTTTATTGAAAAAATGCTTCTTCATCTTGGGTTCCACAGACAGTGGGTGAAGGTTGTCATGAGCTGCATTACTACAGTTTCCTATTCTGTGGTTTTAAATGGTGAACCTGGGGTTTTTTCTTGTGCTATGCAGTGCTTTAAGTTGTCATCCACACTTTGTTCGAAAATGGAGGAAAAAATGGCATCTTTTTGGTGGGCTGGGAAAGAGGATAATGGGAAAACACATTGGGTCCGCTGGGCAAAGCTCTGTGAGGCGAAAGAGATTGGTGGTTTGGGATTTAAGGAGATGACAGAGTTTAATAAAGCTCTTCTTGCAAAAGTTGCTTGGCCACTGGAAGTGGAGGAGGTCATTATTTCTTTAAAATCTTCAAGCATAAATATTTTCATTTGTTGGCAACTTTGGAAGGGTAGAAATGATGGAGTCTACAATGGTATTAACTGGAATTTTTCTGATATCCTGGGTAAAGCCTTATCAAACTTCTATGAATTCTGGGATATTGAATGAGTAAAAAAGATTCCGTGCATTATGGGTTCGGAGGGGAATGTTTTGTCTGAGCACTGGAAAGTTCCTCCTCATGGTTCACTCAAATTGAAATTTGATGCGGCGTTTAACAAAGATACAAGTTGCAGTGGCGGCGGCTTCATATTGAGGGATGATCATGGCAGACCCATCAAAGTTGCATCCTTTTTCTTGCCGAGATTGTAATGGTGATTTTCTCTCGTCTTGTGTTAATCGAGAGTGTAACTATGTTGCTCACTGATTGGAACGTGTGGCTTTCATGGCTACTCAATCTCATTGCTGTTGACTTCTTTCAGTTTCTCTATAAAATGTTCTTCGTTGTTTGTTAAAAAAAAAAAATTATAATGTAAAAAATTATAATCTTAAGTGGATCGATTTCAAAAATAGAAAGCAGTGCCATTTTGTTAAGCAATTATGAATTTTGTTGTCATCATAAATGAATATTTATGACTATGTTTATCTGTATATTGACGGCGGGAGATTGGGAGTGGGCTTGTGTGGGCCCCACACAAATTTTTTTTCTTTTCAAATTTATCTTGAAAGTTCCAAATTTATTTCTTTATTTTATTTTATTTTACTTTTTATTTTTTGCATACAAATAAAAAAATTACTTTCAAAGGTGACAGCAATCCATCAAAATTCCAGGCTTTGCTAGAAATTTTTTTTGTTTGTTTAGACGTAAATGTTTTGCATTTTAAAATTTTAAATACAAAATGTTGTACTAAAAAAAAAAAAAAAAAACTCTTTTTTAAATGTAGGTCCCATTCATTCCGCGTGTCAAAATGACATTCCACCACTTGGCTGATAATGACCTTTTCTTGGTTTTGTGACCTAATGATTCACTCCCATTACTATTTGTTTTTTATACACACACTACAAGAAACCGGGAAGGCCCTCCATCTTCACTTCCCAACACTATATACTCGGTAGTATATATATATATATACAGACACATACACACACACTATACTATATAGTCTTGAGATTATTGTTGAATAGTAATGGCACTGAAGAGATTGTGGGAATCAATGGATGAGTTCTTGAAGCAGTGTGAGCAGTCTGGTGACTCTGCGTACGGTGCGTTCAGATCACTGCTTGAGAGGCTCGAAGATCCGAGCACCCGAGTCGAAGCTCGGGTCTTCTTGTCGGATCTTCAGAAACGCTTCGATACTAAGGAAGCCGGTGAACAATGCCTTTCGACCTTCCATTTCCAAATTCAAGACATCTATATCGAGCAATATGAAGGTAGCTAGCCCCTGTCTCTATCTCTCACATCCAGTTCTCATTTTCATTGTCACCATATATATATATATAATATATATACATATATGTACTGTTATCAAGATTGTTATTCTTAGAACATAAATAGAACACTAATTTATTTATTTTTAGTTTTAGGTGCAGAACATTAATGCAAAGATCAATTTTTGGGAAACACAAACACACTTGTGACCCACAAGATGTCCTGAACTCTCAACATCCCTTTGGGGAGGAGAGACCATAGCCATTCACAACATGTCTTTAATGGAACTCGAACTGTTAACTTTCCTTTGGGGAGGCCAGACCATACCCATTACCTACAACATGCCCCTAATGAGACCCAAACTCTCAACCTCCCATTTGAAGAGGAGGGACCATACAAATGGGGCTAGAGGGCCAGTTGTATCATGTATTCAATTATGTATGTGTGTGTATATGTAACTGTATCCTAATCATCTTACATTTAGATGAAATCAGGCAGAATGAAGATTCTGAATCTATAGGGATACTGGGTTCTCAAAACTTCTAGCTAAGAGGTGATAAATTTTTGGATAAAGAATTTGTCATATGCTGAGTTATGATTCCATACCAAGTTTTTGACTAATGTATTGTTTTTCATATCATAATAATGATAAAAAGTACCTTATTCTAGTAGGTTGAGCTCAACTACAATCTTGCTCTACTATTTTGTTCTTATTGGGTTGTGCGTCTTAACACATTTGTGATACCTTCAATTTACACAACTTGGAAGGTTCTTTGAGTGCTTAAGCTTGCACAATCAAGCAAAGTATGGTTTTCTTAGGGAATATTCAAACCGCCTTAACTGGTGCTTCTTTTTTCTTGTTTTTACCTGATTGATATTGACAAATAGAGGGCACATTTTGAAAACAATAGAGAAGAACGATAACTACTGACAAGAAAAGCTTGGCAACATAAACCATCCAAAAAGACTTGAAATATGAAGTTGAGGAAGGATCGTCCTTGATTCAAAAAAATACATGCTTAACTCGAGATTCATGTTCCGAACGTAGAATCTATACTATAGCCTGGTATCCTAGAGAAAGTTCTTTAGACTCTGTTTGGTTTGCAGATAGAGTGAGGAAAGGGAGGACATTGTAAAGGTAATTATTTTAGATTGTTCAGTTGCAATGAAAAATATGAAGGAAATAAAATGTTAAGAGATCTTTTTCCCCCCTGTTCTTTTTCCTATTCACAACCATTTTTGATAAATTGTTACTTTTACAATTATTCAACCATGAGAGAAAATATAGGGGAAAATGTTTTTTCTTTGTTTTTCCTTCTCCTTTTAGGCTTTTCCTCTTATTTTCACCCTCTAAATCTACTAACCAAGAAATCCAACCTCCTCTCCTTCCCATATTCACAAGAAACCAATTGTTTACAAATGTTAACCCTTCTTGTGAGCATCACCTCAACCATATTTTATCAAAGCTTAATTAGATTCTAAACTAACTTGAAGATCCCCAGTGCTAAGAAAAAGAGCGCACATTTTTTCTGAGTCACACGCAGCACAATGCGAATGGAACTGGAATATATATGCTAGTATCATGATTTTTCTTCCAACCTCACTCTTCTATAGGAGGAGGGCATTTTGACAATGCAAGATCTTATTTGACCTGTTCACAACTGAGTTTCAATATGCTTTAAATTTCAAAGTTACAGGAAAGTTAGATGAGAGGATTAAAATTAAGCCACCTTGCAACATATTTCTAGAAAACCCTCTACGACTTCAACCTCTAAATCAACTGACATACTCAAGCTCTCACCAATGGCATCTTTTGTTTCTTTGGGAGTGCTCCCCTCTTGAGCGCCTTTAATGAATTTTTACTTGTCAAAAAAAAAACGAAATATACTTCTATCTATTGATAGTTCCAGACTACCTCCATTCTATTAGAACCAAAGTCGGGTTCCTCTGTATACCACCTGCAAAACCTGTAGCAAACATCATCATAACAGTAAGAAAAAGCAGAGGGAATTCTTTTGTCAAAGTCCCCTTCTGCTTTTAAACCTGAAATCCAAGCTTTCATTTCCCACCATGACTGACTGGATTTTGAATTGTTTGCTCCCACAATATAAGAATCGCATGCTGTCCTGCCACCACTGCTTTAATCTTTTGGCCAGCATCTCTTCCAAAAACTTATGAACGCCTGCCACTAGACTAACCAACCTGTAATCCCGACATTCAAAACCCTTCCATTTTCACATTTATCTATTTAATGAAAACAATAGAACATAATCAAATTCACGTGTTTCTAGTCTTTTAAAGTTGGGTAACTGATTCACCTTGGCATTGAGACCAAGCCACACTTGTTGTATAAATGTGGCTTTTCTTGGTTGCTCAACATTCTTTTCTGTAAACTGTAGCTGGATTAAATGCTGTAGTCTGTTCACAGTGCTTGTTGTACCAGATGCTTTGACACTTTCCCTGTGTGGTGTAGGATACCGGAGGAGGAAGAAATTGACAATGATGGTGATCCCTAGCATCTTTATCCCAGAGGATTGGTCCTTCACTTTCTATGAGGGACTTAATAGACATCCCGACTCTATCTTCAAGGACAAGACAGTAGCTGAGCTTGGTTGTGGAAATGGGTGGATCTCCATCGCCATTGCTGAGAAGTGGTTACCTTTGAAGGTTTATTGTTCTTATCCTGCTATTATAGAAATTAATGATGCCTATTTGGTCCTTCCCATGCCAGTATCTGTTGATAATAATAAAACTAACGATACTTGTGACATGTGCTGCAATTTACCACATTAGTGTTTAGCGGAAATGAGATATTTTTCTTGTTGCCGAGAAAAGTTTTTTTTTATCTACTTCTACAAGCTATCTTAATATTGCCTCAATAATATTTTTACAGGTGTATGGCCTTGACATCAATCCGAGAGCCATAAAAGTTTCTTGGATAAACCTGTATCTAAATGCTCTGGATGAAAAGGGTCAACCCATCTATGACGGGGAGAAGAAAACTTTACTGGACAGGGTGGAATTTCATGAATCTGATCTGCTAGCTTACTGTAGAGATCAACACATTGAACTTGAACGAATTGTTGGGTGCATACCTCAGGTATGTACGATATCTTGTAGGAAACGCTAGTAAAAGAAGTTGTTCTCTGTCTCCTTTTAACATGGTTAAAATTTGTATAATTTATTTAAATGTTATGACAGCTAGTTAAAAGGTTAATGTTTGTGTAGTCATTTTTATCTCCAACATCGTTTTCTTATTGCAGATTCTTAACCCAAATCCAGATGCAATGTCCAAGATGATTACAGAAAATGCAAGCGAGGAGTTTCTACATTCATTGAGTAACTATTGTGCACTTCAGGTTGGAAGAGAGTCTAACTATTTTGATATTACTTGGTGACATTTGAAGACTCCATCCCTATTTGGCTTCCTCTTTTGTAGTTGAGGTCTTTCTAAGGTTTTTTAGAAAAAAAATGTTTAAGCAAAAAAAGCAAAGAAAATGTAGAACCATTAAAGGGGAATATCAATTAGACCTGTCGTGGCATCAATTGAATAAAAGAGAGCTGATTGTGTTGAGATTCTTGATTTGATTCTTTTTAAACTGAAACTTTATCATGATATATACTCCTTTTCTATGCACCCAATTGGAATCACTCTTGCTTGTGCTTCTATATGGTTTTACTTATTTGAGTTTTGATTTCAATTTCTGTTACCTCAAGTTATAATCTCCAGAACTGTAAAAATAATAAAGCAAGCTGGTGCAAGGTAGAAGTTTATTGATTCCTTATATCATGGCCCTTTCTTTTTTCGCTTGGAGTGCTAGACAAAGAGGAAGAGAAACTCAATGTGGAGCAGGGTTGGAAGAGAGAAAAGAGATAAGCAGTGAATCTAGAAAACTTTATTTTGAGCAGTGAATCTAGAAAACTTTATTTTGAGCAGTAAATCCTGAAAATCTATATTTTATTTACATAATCAGTTTCTATATACTTAACCAAGTGTTTCGAGTTATATGCTTACTAGTTTGAATATGTCATTCATAAATTTGCCTATTCCAAGCACACATATTTAATTTGTGTCAAGACATAGGGAGAGCTGATGAATGTTTATCGATAATTATTGATACTCTTCTTTCCCTTCATTGTCAAGAAGAGTAGGATTCATTAGTAAGATTTCCCTTTTTCCTTTTTTTTTTTCCCCCTCTACTTAGGCCCTTTGGCAATGTCTAATTGCTAGTGCAAGCGCGAAACATTGAATCCAAAAAGCTTTTTACTTTCCTAAATTCATAGCCACTACCTTGGTTTGAGGATTTGTTATGGTACCTGTTTCATGAGTTCTAGTCTTGGATGCATTTGGTCATAGATATATTTAATCTGCCTTATTTCTTAATCAATTCAAGTAGCCTTGGGTAAGACTGTGAACTTTATTGGTTAATATGCCATTCTCTTGTTTCTAGGTTATTGAAAAATGGAAGGGATTTGTTACATTGATTATATCAATCCAACTTTATAACTTTTTTGTTGTTTAGGGCTTTGTTGAGGATCAGTTTGGCTTAGGTCTAATTGCTAAGGCCGTTGAACAAGGAATTAATGTAATCCAACCTATGGGGATTATGATCTTTAATATGGGAGGCCGTCCAGGACAAGGTGTTTGTAAACGCTTGTTTGAACGCCGTGGTCTCTGTGTTAACAAGATTTGGCAGACTAAAATTCTCCAGGCAAGTAAACCATTCTTTATAGAAAGTCACATATCCACCAAAATTGCACTCTTGTTGATATTTGTTATTTCAGGCTGGGGACACAGATATTTCAGCTTTGGTCGAAATTGAGAAGAATAGTCGACACCGTTTTGAGTTCTTCATGGGGCTTGTGGGAGATCAGCCAATTTGTGCTCGAACAGCATGGGCTTATGGAAAGGCTGGTGGTCGTATTTCTCATGCTTTATCAGTTTACAGTTGTCAGCTTCGTCAACCTAACCAGGTATACACTTCATGTCATTATTCAACATTGTGGAAATTTATATCATTTAATGGAACAGGATAAGGAATGAACACTAATGGAGCTAAACTGACAGGTTAAGATGATTTTTGAGTTTCTCAAAAATGGATATCAGGAGATCAGCAATTCTTTAGATTTATCTTTTGAGGATGATTCTGTTGCCGATGAGAAGATTCCATTCCTGGCTTATCTTGCTAGTGTTTTGAAAGAGAATTCAGTTTTCCCATATGAACCACCAGCTGGAAGCAAACGATTTCGTAATCTCATTGCAGGTTTTATGAAAACTTACCACCATATTCCGCTTAACGCCGATGTAAGAGACTATTCCATCTTAAATTCATCTTATATCATGCCTTTTCGTTTTCTTATTGTCTCTATTTGATAATTTATGACTGATCCTATGGACTCCTTAAGGCCTAACTGCATCAGGTCTTCCCCCCATCCGTTCTTGATTTGTTCTCCATGTTCAAGTAATCAACAATACTCTGCTTATTATTCATTTTATCCTTCCTGTGGAGTTTAGGCTTGAGTCTTAGCATCAGAACATGATTTGGATTTGTGTTGATGCATTGGTCTAGTACCCCTTTCATTCAAGTAAACAGTAGTTTTCCCATTTGTGCATTGTTATGCTGTATGTGTTTAAATCTCTTCTGAGTTCTAATTTCTAATTGTTTGAGCTAGGTAGCTATACCATGAAATAAACTGCCACATGGTTTTCCCTTCAGCTTTTATATAAGCTGCAAAAGGAAACTTGTATAATTCAATGCTTCCATAATCTCAATATTTAGGTGGGCTTATAATTTTCTAATGCATATTGGACATGTAAGCTTTATCAGTGGCTATTCTATCTCATGATAAATTTTCAAAATATTGCTTTCAATTTATCAGAGACAAGGATTTCCAGTTACTTGTTTTTTTATATCTTGAACAGACCTTTTAAAAAACCAGTATTCCCTTTACAGAAGTACATATGAGTTGTTAGTATACCTTTCATAGTGTGTAAAATAAGCTGCTTTTCTGACTTGTTACTCTTCAATTTTTGTGCAAGAATGTTGTTGTTTTTCCTTCGAGGGCTGTGGCAATCGAGAATGCTCTTCGATTATTCTCACCACGTCTTGCCATTGTTGATGAAAACCTGACTCGACACCTACCGAGGCAATGGTTAACATCACTGACAATTGAGGTATGGTACGTTTAGGATTCTTTATAGATAAATTCTTCTATGTTTCTACCTTTCCTAAGCAAATTTTTTCTTCTTTTCTTCTTTTCTATTTTTTTGTTTTTGTTTTTTTTTTTTTTTTTGTCCTCTGTATTTACTTCCCATTTATTCCATTACTATCAGCCACAAAAGTTTTTATATCTTTGGCCTAAGTTTTTGTTTACCGTGTCATCCAACCTTATTCTCTGACTTTTTATATCTTAGCTCTAAGAACCAATCCACAAAGCCTAAACACCTCAAAATTTAAGTTTAAAAACTGTAACCTTTTTTTTTTTTAAATTTTTTTTTACACTTATGTAACAAAACAATGAAGCTAATATATAGCCTTCGTACCTAACTATATATATTTTCCAAGGCCAATACATCCCTAAGCTTGCGTTGTGGATATCAACCTAGCGCTACTTAACCAACCTTTCTTGGTGCCCATTGAAGGTGTATAAGTGGGAAGAAATGAATTATATTGTTCATGGGATGATGGGCCAAACAAGCAGAAAATATACCTATTAAAATGTCCTTTCAATATGCTGCAGCCCTTTACTACCATTTTTTTCACAAGTCCTCATCAAGCACCAAATCAAGTATCATTATTAATTACTTCAATCATTTTTAGATCCCATATTGGACAACTTGTACCTGCAAAATAGTGCCTCTTGTGTCATTATGCTCGATGCATAGCTTCTAGGATCTTGTCCATTTTGAGATATATTTTCCAATCCGGTTGCTAGAGTTTCAATAATACCTCCAGAAGTGCTCTTAAAGGACAAAGAAAGTCCAACTAAGTATCAAACCCTGATATCTTACAAACTATTAACATAACTTATTAAAAAAATAAAATTCGATAAATTTATATATAATCATCATCTCCACCTCCGTCATCATCAAAGCCTTTAGAAGTTATTTTTTACACCTTTTTTTTCCTCCTGGAAACTATTTTCTGTCTATAGTGTCTATCTACTAATTAGTATACATGGTAATACACCTTTTGATTTTTGTTGTTCTGATAAAATTTCATTTCTTGTGGCAAACAATCATTTAGAAGTTCGGTCCTTGCTAATTTTACTCCTCATCTTCAAGGACCACGTTCAAGGCAGTCAGCTTTTGGCTAATCAGTATATTTTTATATATTCTATGTCTTAATTGTACCCTTTGTAACATTTTCCAGATATATTGATCAGCTCGTGTTGCCATTTATTGCTTCTTAGTTTAGTGAACTGACTTATTTTAACCTGACTATGGATAGCAATATTGGTGACATATTCATGCCAGTTGAGTTACAGACGCCTAATAGACATAAATCATCTCATTAAGTTTCACATTGTGCTTGGAACTAGCTCTTTCTGTTTTATACTTTTAATCGGGTTCTATTAATATTGTTTAGAGAATCAGTTAAAGGAGTTTCATAAAGTAGCATCATTTATGTTTCAATTCCTCATTTTAAGTATTACATCATGTACATTCAAAGGATGGATGGATTTGTGTGTTTAGATTGTATGAGGAAATTAATGAACAATCACCTTATGAGTGTTTAAATGCCCCTTGGCAATTTTCTCACTAAGTTTTCAGGTATTTTGGGTGCATGTGTGATGGGTAAGTACAAATCTTTTCGTTGTTGCAGAATACAGAAATAGATAATCTTTCAGAGGATGAACTCACTGTTATTGAAGCCCCACATCAGTCAGATTTGATGATAGAGCTGATAAAAAAGTTGAAGCCGCAGGTGGTAATTACTGGGATGGCTCATTTTGATGCTGTTACTAGTTCCGCTTTTGAGCACCTTTTAGTTACTACAAGAAAAACTGGGTGTCGTCTTTTCTTAGATATATCAGACCACTTCGAACTATCTAGCCTCCCTGGTTCCAATGGGGTCCTGAAATATATTGCAGGAACTCCTCTGCCTTCACATGCGGCAATTATATGTGGATTAGTGAAAAATCAGGTATGTTTTTCCTTGTCGCGATCAACCTCGGTTACTTGGTCTATAACTCATTGATACTATTCTATGCCTTTAACCAAATTGTAGCCCTTGGATTGGTTTTCAGACACATTGTTGTCAGGTTTAATATAATCAACTACTTCTTTATTACCGATCTCCCATTTCTTTCCAGGTTTATTCAGATCTGGAAGTGGCTTTTGTGTTATCAGAAGAGGAGAGTATCTTTAAAGCATTATCCAAGACTGTCGAGCTATTAGAAGGAAATACTGCACTGATTAGTCAATACTATTATGGTTGTCTCTTCCATGAACTTCTAGCTTTTCAGCTTGCTGATCGGCATCCACCTGCAGAGGTTAATTAGTTTTATTATAATTTCAAGATACTTTTTACTAATATGCTCCTAAATATGTGATTGTTGTATAAATATGTCACTTTCATTATTTTACTCTTCCCTTACCACTTGAGATATTCATGGAATGCTGACTACTGGAAAACAGCAATTCTGACATATATCAAAGGCAGGAAAGTGAGATCACAGAAAAGATAATTGAAAAAGTAAACAGGGTTCTGTTTTCTTTAATTATCTAGGACATTACATCAGTCTTCCATATCCGTTCAAGAGTTCTCAACTGCTTTTAAATCTATTGGCAAAAAATCAGGTAGTTGAAATTATATAATGATCCTGCATCTCAACAATGAAGCGTAACATTAGAATTCTAAAAGCCATGCTCTTTGTACGATAGTTTAAGATCTGGATAGCTTTACCTGATCTTTTGCCACTCCCTTTTGAACATATTTTTACAAATACAGCAAGATTTGTGGCTTAACTGAACTTCGTTAATGTCAAGTGCACACTTAAAACTGCAAGCTAAATGAACGCTTCTAGTTGTTATAAATATCAATGTGCAATTCATTATTTTTAGAAGCTCCTTGAAATTCTATGAAATTTGATTTTGTCGTTTCTAAAGAAATTAATATAGTTTCCGAATTGACTCTTCATGCTTGTCCATTAGAGAGAAGCTGAGAAGGAGAAAGCCGTTGACATGATTGGATTTGCTAGTTCTGCCATCTCAGTCCTTGATCATGCTGAGTTATCAATTACAGAAGCAGATAACACTTCCCTAATTCACATGGATGTGGATCAAAGCTTTCTGCCTATACCTTCTCCTGTCAAAGCTGCTATTTTTGAAAGTTTTGCAAGACAGAATATAGCAGAATCAGAAAATGATTTAAAAACCAGCATTGGACAATCTATCAATAGCAATTACGGGTTCCCCAGTGATAGAAACACTGAATTCTTATTTGCAGACTGCTCATTAGCTCTTTTCAATAAGTTGGTCCTCAGTTGCATCCAAGAAGGTGGAACCATGTGCTTCCCATCTGGCTCAAATGGGAATTATGTATCTGCTGCTAGATTTCTGAAAGCTAACATTGTCAGCGTCCCTACCCACTCTGAAGAAGGGTTTAAGTTGACAGAAAAGATACTTAGTGGTGTACTTGAGACATTGAATAAACCTTGGGTGTACATTTCTGGTCCGACAATCAACCCAACTGGCTTGCTTTACAGTAAGGAAGATATAGAAAATTTATTATCTATTTGTGCTACATTTGGGGCAAGAGTTATAATTGATACTTCATTCTCGGGATTGGAATTTGACTCTAAGGACTGGCGTGGTTGGGATTTGGAAGGCTGCTTGGCAAAACTAAGTTGTCCTGGCAAACCATCTTTTTGTGTGTCGCTCCTTGGAGGACTGTCTTTGAATGTGCTTACTGGAGGGCTGACATTTGGGTTTCTGGTTCTAAACCAGCCTTTCTTGGTTGATGCATTCCATAGCTTTTCAGGGTTAAGTAAACCTCATAAAACTGTTAAATACACCATAAAGCAGTTGCTGGATCTGAGGGAACAAAAGGCAAGTGACTTTCTGAATATCATCGCAGACCAAAAAAAGCTTCTGCAAAGTAGATCTAAGCACTTAAAGCAGGTAATTGTTAAATCTATGATAGGCTTTCCATAACAAACATTCCTGATTTTTTTGGCTTTTGTTAGTGTTAATGTTCTTCAACCACGTATGAAAGTATGGTGGATGTTGTTATGACTTGAGTAAATATTGTGAAAAAAGCAACTGATCTGCATCAATTAGATGCATTAACGTGACAATATAATCTGCATCAATTAGATGCATTGACGTGACAATACAAACTGAATATATGGATTTTAAGTTAAATAGATAGGTTCTTGCTCAACCATTAATTTGTTTTTCTTTTTCCTTTTTTCCTTTTCGGACTAATGCAACAAGTTTGACCATTGATTCGAAACTCTCTTAAATCTAGAAATTGGGACATGGGGTTTGTACATGCGCAGAATGCATGCGATGTTTGTAAGATTGCATAGAATAGAGAGAGAACAGTAAGGATTAGAGAGGCTTCATTATGTTTGTGTGTGTTTGATCTTTGAAGTTTCTCATGCACTGAAAACTGGCAATGACAACATTCTTATTTTCTTGAATATTGCTCTTATTTGAGCATTGCTTGTGGTTATAAGCGCTTGATCTATGGGAGCAGATTGGTGCTGACAATCACTAATGTGAAGGAGAGCTATGGATTCATCTCATGGTGATTAAAAGGAGAGCATGAGAAGTAACGGCTGGGCACGTGTTGGTGAGTGGGTATTAGTGGAGATTGCTGTGCTCAGGTAGTGTTGAAGCAATGGCTAGGCTCACGGGTCAAGTGGTAACTAGTCTTAACACACTGTGTCTAAACCTTTATATTCCAAGAACTTCTCATAGTGGACCGATGAGGGCCTCGATGAAATCCCATGAAATTTTCTATTGGAATTTCTATATAAAATTTTGGGCAATTGTTTAATTGGTCATTAATGCTTAGTTTATGCAATTGATTTTAAACTTGGTCATAAACAATTAATTGGACCTAATAAGCAACCATTAGTACTAGAATTGTGATGTGAATTGCCATGCATCATTACAGATCAAGAATATCAATGAACTAAATGGAGACAGAGTTAGAAACTTGTGGTTGACTCCTTGCCCTTCTATTTATGTTCTTGTCTGTGTTTAAACATTGAACTTGAAGGCGAGAAAAACTGAGTTTTATTAACCCTCTATTGGGTTTATTTTATTGAAAATTTTCTTGGAGTGGGTTGTTAGTTCAGTTCGATAAAGTGATTTGTTCGATGACATTTCTTAAAGCAATTTCCTTGCTTACTTGCAACAGACACTTGAAGATTGTGGATGGGAGGTGCTTGAAGCTCGTGCTGGTGTTTCCATGGTGGCAAAGCCATCTGCCTATCTTGGCAAGAGTATTAAGCTCAAGGAAGATGCCATTGCTTATGAAGCGAAGCTTGACGACTCAAATATCAGAGAAGCCATTTGCAAGGCCACCGGGCTATGCATCAATAGTGCTTCGTGGACTGGAATTCCTGGCTATTGCCGCTTCACAATTGCCTTGGAAGATAATGATTTTGAACGCGCATTGGCTTGCATAGTCAAATTCAAAAACGTCATCGACGACTGAAATGCTTTGCTGCTGTCGACTCCTCTCTGATTGTTCTACAACTTAGGTGCCAAGAACTAAACCGTTCCCATAGTTGAGTTGCTTAAACTCGTCTCGAGCTCTTTACACAAATCAAGCATTAATTGAGGTTTTCCCTTATACATGCGCTTGTATTCTAAATTACAAATGCAGTGTTTTCTCATGATCATGGTTTTAATGGTCTTGTTACACAATGTCCAGCAGATCACACCTTCTATGTGAAATATCTGCATATCTGCAGTTCTTATAATAACGAACAAAAAATGTTTCTTTTGTGTGATTATAATTAGTTTCTTAACTCTTTATGGTTAAATTTAGAACAATATTTCACATCACACAATGATTTTATTATTTTTATTATTATTATTATTTTTTCTACGTCACACAATGCTTCTTTTGTGTGATTACCATCGCTTTTAGCTTTGTTTGGTGTATTCCTGGCTTCAACCAAAGCCTTTTGGTAGTTACTCTCAAATATTGTGAGAATTTAATTAGCAGTTCATAATAGCCAGAGTTGTTGGATGAATTCCAAAGCTTGAAAATTAGAAACAAAAGGTGAACATTAGAAAATACCAAAACAGGTAATTCAGCATATATATATATATAATCTTATTTATTTATAAATTAAATGCATTAAAACTCTCTCGAACTGTAATTTATGTTTGCGTGTTATCTGTTTTTGTAGTTAACTTTTAGCATTTGACCACCTTGAAACATAAATATAAAAAGATCTTGGAAAATACTAGGATGTCAATGTATATAGCCCGGCGGTTTGAGATCATGCTAATCGGTTTTGGAAAGAGAGTTTAAACCCACAAAGCCTAAAGATTGATAATTAATATATAAATAAATATTATTTTATTAGTTATAATTTTTCTTTTACCTTTATTTCTTATGATAATTTTAAATTTTAATAACACTTTTGTTATTATTATTGTTAAATATTTGACTATATCACAAAAAATTTACCAAATTTGTTTTAAATTTATTCAAGTTTGAATAGTTTTTCTTTAAAAATATGTATATCACAACACCCCGAACCAAACCGGATTTGAAAAAAGAAATTCAATCGTGGGATGAGTTTGGGAAAAGGAGTGCCTCGTCCTGAACTTATCCGTTGTCATTTATAGAAAATAATCTTTTGTTAACAAGTTATAATTTAAAAATAAATGGTGCATGAGCCTTGTGAATATAAAAGTTTACCCTTTTAGATTAATTGCATAAATCCCTCCGTACTATAAGAATTTGTACTGTACCACACTTTTTTAGAAGGTACATGGAAAGTTAATAAATTATTAGAATCCAAAGGACAATTTATTAATTTGCAAGACACATTTCACAGCGACCTAAGAACTAAAGTCTGTTGTATTAGCAAATTTGGTGGGATTAATTTTATTTTGCCAAATGCTCAAAATTATTTTTAATGCCCAATGAGAGTTTTGTGTAATAACCAATAACCCTTTTTTTACCAGATGGATCATTTATGCAAACTAGTGATATATATATATATATATATATATATATATATATATATATATATATATATCAGTCAGGAAAGAAAATTGGTTCCCAATATATTGGTCACAACTGATTTATGTATTGTGTTATAATTACTTATATTTATGTATGTCTCATCCCATAAAATACTTATAAATTGTTTTTTAGTGTCATTGATTAATTTCTACTTGAGAAATATATATATATATATACACATATATTTCATTTCGTTTCATTTTAAAAATTGAGAATATATCTCCCAATAATTTACACCCCATTTTTAATTTGATAATTATTTTTGACTTGAATTTTTCATTTTGAAAATCATTTTAATACGGAGTACTCCGTATTCAATAAGAACCAAAAGGCCATTCTTAAAATTGAAAGTCGGTTCTTGCGACTGCGTGTAAACAAAGCAGATCGGGCTTTATTAATTAGCCCACAGCCCTATCTTCCAGGCAAAGGATCCATTGCGTATAAATAAAGCCCATCATTTTCAGACAGTCACAGGGAGAGAAGAGAGAGAGAGAGGGGACTACTTGCTCTGTCACTGACTCACTGGTCGAACGATTTCGCAAAAGCACATTTTCAAGCGAAATGGAAGAAACCCTAAATTCATCGCATCCACAACCTTCCGATGAAGCGACCGACGGAGTGGAAGCCCAAGCTGTATCAGAGACTCAAAACCTTCAAAAATCTTCCGATTCTGATTCGGACTCTGACAACTCGGACTCCGACGCCGAACAGAATCTTCAAATCGAAACCCTAGAAACGGAACTCTCCAATAACCACGCCAACTACGACGCACATGTTCAAGTATCTCTTCTAATTCGATCTCTATCTTCATATATACATATATATTTTATATCAAATGTGTTTTCTCATTATTATTTCTCTTAAGCTGGTGTTCTTTTTTGTTGATACCTTTCTTACACATTTTGTTGTCCTTGTTTAGTATATCAGGGCTCTGAGGAAACAGGGTGAGATTGAGAAGCTTCGACAAGCGAGGGAGGCCATGAGTGCATTGTTTCCATTAACCCCAACTATGTGGCAAGAGTGGGCTAAAGATGAAACTTCTCTATGCTCTGGGTATATATTTATTTAATAATAATAATAATTATTATTTTTTTTGTGAATGGCGTTGTATATTATTGCTTTTCTTTTTATTTGTTGCAGTCAATTCACTACATGTAAATATATGCATATGCATGAGTCATATTATGTTTTTTTCATTACCTTATTAAGTTTTATTAAGTTATTGGTTTCTTTATTGGAAGAATACCTTGGTAAATTTGGGGAAATGGTTGTCAGGATTGTTGTCATTTTTTAATCTTTTGTGACTGCTTGCATTTCTTTAGATTTCGTGGGACAATGGGACAATGCAAGTCGTAAAATGATAGAACGATGGAGAAATTCCATTGGAAATGATTAATGCATTTTTTTTGAAAAATATGTCTGGACGGGATGCCTAAATAGCTCTAGCTGGTGTAAAATAGTCAAGACTAGAAATTGAACGGTTGAGCTCTACTTCTGTAGCGTGAGATTATAAAAGTATATCGGGGCACGATGGAATTATAAATAAGTAAGTTAATAATAAAGAATCTGCCTTGTTAGTTGGCTTGCCTTCTTGATACTTGGTGTACACATCCTCCTGAGCTGATCATTTTTCTTTCTGCCCTAAAGGGAAGAGAGGGAGAGAAAAGATAGGGGGTGGGGGGAGACCTTTTATCATACTTTATTTCCATTCACCCTTTTATTACATGGAGGGTATAATGGTGATAAAGTAACACCTATTTCTTTTCATTTCCCCTTATTGACCAATCAATCAGATAGAGGGGAAGATTGTATCCTTTCTGATGGGGTACTTATTCCATCCCTCCTACCTTATTATTCTTCTAGTTTTCCTTTTCTCCCACCAGATTGGGTGTTGCACAATGTTGATTGCATGAATCCAAAATTGGACTTTAGATAAAAATCATAAAATTATTTAAAGATTTTAAGTTCAAATATTGAAACATTCTATATCTCTTGCTATACATAAGAAATGGTAAAAACACGAGATACAAGGAACTTTCATCTCCCTTACGAGTCAAGATTGGGGGTGGGGGGAAATCTTTATTAACTGCTTATAGGTGGTGCCTTGCTTCTAACCAGGTAACTGCTTTTGATATAAATTACTTTCGTTCTTCATATGCTTTTATCTAATGTTGAACATTTTATTTTAACTGTTTAGTGGATCAAACACGTGGTGATGGGATTTTTGACCCCTTATTTTGTTTTTTTAAATAAATCTAATTGACCTTTAAAGGATGAAGGATCCAATTCAACTCATATATTTTTCCTTTTGACACAATTGAACATCAGAAGTTTGGCGTGCTCCAGTTTTTCATTCTGGGATGTGCACTATAAGTTACTGAGTTTTGTTTTATAGTTCATTGAACTGGTTTACTCATGAAGGAAAGTATATCTATGGTGTCTAGAAGATCTAAATTCTAATGACTCCACTGGAGCATTACTCAACTCAACTGACAGAGCTAAGTGGTACTCTTGATCTATTTATGCATTCACGATTCATTGATTTATTCTTTTGTTGGAACAATAAATTTATTAATTTATTGTTTTATTCACAATTCATTGACAAACAATTAGTTTTGCAGAGAATGCATATCTCTTATTCTTATATTCATGTCCCTAATTTTTTTTTGCAAATGGCTAGATTGTTCTGGACCCTGAGGTCCTGATCATTTAGTTGCATCAGAAGTTTATTTTATTTTATTTATTTATTTTTTAGAATAAATTCGAATCTAGTTTTTTGGGTTAATGATTATTCTCAAAGTTCATCCATATTTATTCATTGAAATAACCTTGTGTCATAATAGAATACAAATCACTTCCTTAGAAATTTGATGAACTTTGTAAGTCTCACATTAATCATGTTCTATTGTTTTTTTGTGCATGATTTAGGGGGGAATTTTATTAAACTGTTCAGTGTTTGTCTTGGAGTATTCATACTTATATTTCTCTCGACTCCTGTTTTGCAGACCAGAGGCTTTCACTACGGTTGAGAAACTTTATGAGCGAGGCGTGTTTGATTATCTGGTTGGTTCTGATTCTTGGCTTGGACTTCCATTTTTTTTTCCTTTTCCGTGTTTAGTACTAGAAGTAGAAGTTACAATTACGTACAAAAAGAAATACAGTAGACAATAGTTCTCATGCATTTTTTTTGACATCTCATGTTATGTCATTGAAATGGTTAGAAGCAAAATAAAGTGAGAGATGTGATCTTTATAGATAAAAGAAAGAAAAAAAATGTACAAAGGAAGGAATTTAAACGTTCTAAATGGAATACGAGTTTCTGAAACTCTCTCTAATAATGGAGCTCTTTCATTGGCTGGAAAATCTTCAGCTTCATTTGCAAGATCTGTGACTATATAACCAATAGGTCCTCATCTAGGAAGCTGCACGATTAGTGCCCTGGCATAAGATCAGATATCTCAGAGGACTTTTTAATTGAGTCTTCTCACAAGTTTAAAACAGAGCTATCACCTTCATTTGAAAAACTGGGGAAAAGTACGACAATTTGCAGTTCTATGGCCATATGAAAAATCAAGTTCCATCTTAGGAAAAGGAAGAATTTAATTTAGACTTCCATCTAATTTTTTCATGTTAACTTTTATTAAGATCGAAATTCTGGTATTCGCATTTGCAATTTTCCAAAATATGGATGGTTGGTAGCATAAACCTTACATCTGCAAATGATGATTAATTTATTCTTTTAGAATTTTTTTATTAAAAAAAAATTGACCACGGTTTTTCTTTTTGCAGTCAGTCCCTTTGTGGTGTGACTACTTAAAATTTATTCAAAAATATGATCCATCAGTATGTGAATGTTCACCTGCTGGGATTTTGAAGGCAAGAAACCTATTTGAGCATGCTCTCACTGCTGCTGGTTTGCATCTTTCTGAAGGCAGCAAAATATGGGAAGCATACAGGGAATTCGAGCAAGTTATCCTCCACATGATGGATGGGAATGACACTGAGGTCAGAATTTAGTTAAGAAGTAATCTCTGTCTTTAATTTTGTGTCTTTCCTATCTGACCTCATTTGTTTACGTACGTGTGTGTTTGTTTTTCATTTATTCCCTTAACAATTTGAAAAAGGTACAGGGATATTAAATATACAATTATATGAATGTGTATTCAATTTAATGTTGTAATTGATGTAATGTAAAAGGTTGCCAGTGGGAATACGTTTTGAACTATTTCTTGAGCTTGTTACATTAAAGAAGCTCCAACATTTATGCTACATATGATATCTCCCATTTCTCTATGTTCCCTTTGGAAGATGAATTCCACAGAGAATGTTGCTTGTTTCAAAAATTGTTTAATGCAACTTGGGGAAATGAACAAAAAAAAGTCATTCTCAATAGACACGCTCTCCTTTAACAGTCAATCTCTATAGATACAACCTCCTTTCTCACTTTCGATTTGATTCTTCAAGGCTGTTAATTCTGTCTTTTAAGATGCCCTTAAATAAGTGCACAAGCGTTTGTTGTATATGTTATCGTTTGCTGGATTCTGGATGAAACATAAAATCACAGGTTATGTTGAATGCATGGTGTTTTAATTGTTGTTGTGATCACTATACTTTCTCCTTACTTTTGATTGTTATTCCTGTAGAAGGCATATGGAATTTTGTTTTTCTGATATTATATTAAGAATGTTACATTTGGTTTTGAAGGCAAGGGAAAAGCAGGTCCAGCGCATTCGAAATATATTCCACCGTCAGTTGTCTGTACCCCTTGGTGACCTAAGGCCAACACTTCTCGCCTACAAGGCTTGGGAAGCTGAACAAGGGAATGCTTTTGATGTCAACTCTAGCGACCTAGATGGAATTTCTTCTCATGTTTCCTCTGCTTACAAAAAGGCTACGGATATGCTGAATGCTCGTGTTCGTCTTGAAGAACAGATTTCTTTGCAGGATATACCTCACTTGGATAGACTTACACAATTCATGGTAACATTTTATGACATTTTGAACTAGTCTTTTGAAAAGGAATGCTTTAACTAAGCAGCTCCATGCGTCCATAGTTCTCTGACTTTAGTTGAAGAAATGCACAATATGCTGGAATAACTAATGTTTAAGATAATTACTGAAAATACTTTGAAATGAGAAAATACAGGGAAAAATATAACATTTATTAGATTTAGTAAAACAATTGTTAAGGTACAAATCTATGCTTCACTGTTGAAGTAATAAGCAAATTGTATGTTTGTGAAAAAAATCTAAATACATTTGCCAGACCAGAGAGAGAGAGCGGGGGGGAAGAAGAAATTATCTGGATGCTGGGAATTTTTATCTGACGAGGCAACTGGAAAACATCCACATATCCAATCCTTGGCAATTATTTCCTAAGGCTATGTACTTCCAAACATTGTTGTACTTTCGCCATGTTCCTTTGCAATTGGTTACCAACATATATATTATGCTATTTTCTTTTTCTTTTTGCTCTTCTTTTTTTTTTTTTTTTTTTTTGTGTGTGTGTTTGTGTATGTATGTGTGAAATATTGGCATCTTACAAATGCTTTTGACTTTATTATTTTATGATCCTGAAAAAGACTAGGTCTCTGCTTTTTTTCCCCTGTTGAACATTACTTTGTTCCATTTTTTTCTTTTTTAGGTGATAGCAAATTGCAATTATGAATTTCATGTTTTTGGTATTAAATTTAATTTCTGAAAACATATCATGTTGTTGCAGACCTACTTGAAATTTGAGCAGTCTTTAGGTGATCCAGCTCGTGTTCAAATCCTGTATGAACGTGCCATAACTGAGTTTCCCATATCCAGTGATCTGTGGCTTGATTACACTCGCTACCTGGACAAAACCTTGAAGGTTCTCCTTGGATCCGTCTTGTCTTTTGGTTGTAGAAGTTTTCAGTTTTGAGTTAATTTTCTGTCTTCTTCGTTTCAGGCCGCCAGTGTTGTAAAGGATGTTTATTCCAGGGCCACAAAGAACTGTCCCTGGGTTGGTGAACTTTGGGTTCGTTACCTTCTTTTGCTTGAACGCGGCCATGCTTCTGAGAAAGAGACATCTGCTGTATGTTCCATGTCTTACCTATTCTTTAGAATTCCTAATTTCCTAGTGAAGTTCAATCTGATTGTCCTGAAAAAGATAACAGTTTGTGGTCCAACTTCATCTGAGATTCTGAAACTTCATTCGACTCTGTATTTTAGTAGTTATTTGACCATTCCAGTTTGCTCAGTTGATGATGATTTTGTTACTTCACTGATGAAAAAAAATCCAGTTTTTCTGGTGCTGAGGCAGATACAGGTCTTAGATATCAGTATAGCGTGTGAAAAATAAGATGCCTATAACCTATGTAAGCAGCTTTAAGAGTATGACTTAAATAGACATGTATTAACATGCTAACTGTTAGGACTTGTTATTCTACTTGGGGTCTTTCTGTTGGTGTAACTGCTCAAGTGAAGCGAGCCTCAAGAGGCTCGTCCTTTTTTTATTTTTTCATTTTTTATAACGACGTAGAGTTTTTTTACCTAATTAATTATGTTGTACGAAATATATACGTGAATTATTTTCTGGACATCCTACTGTTACTTTTTTGTGTTTTGATTTTTCAGAGAATATAGGTAATTTTAGCAACTTTCGGGGATGTTTCTCTCTCTCTCTCTCTCTCTCTATACACACACACATAAACACACACACACACACATATATTACCTCCCTCCTTTCTTCCCCTTTGCTCCAACATTCTAATAGTTGGCTTTGATGTTACAGGAAAGTGTCTGGTATGTGGGAAATCTAGTAAATTTGCTTCTGTTACCTTCATTTTCTTCTGCCAGTTGGTTCATTTGGGAGTTTTAGAGGATCTAATAGTAGAGGTGTATAAAAATGAATGGTCTCATGTTCTGACATTTCAGAGTTCCCAAAGGTTATATATTTGCAACCTCATACTTGGTTTATTGTTCTGTCAACTGCTTAAAGTTATCTCAGACCTTCTTATATCTGATCAAACTAAGAATTGTTAGACACCTCTTTTTTTACAATCTTTTCTTATAAAAAAAAAAAGAAAAAAAAAGAATTGTTAGAGACCTTGCCTCTGCTCTTCCTGATGGCATTTGTCCCTGCCATTTTACATCCCTTAAGTTATAAATTCCCTCCTCCTTTCTCTTGATTTTTATCATTTAATCAGTATCTAATCATTTAGTGTCTTTTGCTGGAATATGTGTTTCTATGGTTCTTTCAGTGTCCGTTCTTGTGTTACACCTTGGACCCCACATTATCCATTACCTTTTTAAAAGTGTTATCTCATTTTTCTTGTTATGTCAATTTATTAGGGTATTTCCATGTTTGTCTTTTGTTCTTCCCCCTTTCTAAAGGGTGGTATAAAACTTTTGGTGGATAAACACTCTGGTGACTTGTAAATACAGAAGATGAATGTTGTGCTTATCCTCTAGTTCACGGGCTCGACTTTCGCCTTGTGAGTGGTTTTGTCACAAATATGAACTATGAAGCTAGAGATTTGCGAGCTTGGATCCTAGGTACCGCAGTGTTATGGTATATCATATTTATACACATATAATTTACGGAAATATACACGTACACTCCAATCAATCTACATGGCATCATAGGCTAGCATGTATTCAATGTTTATATATCCTATAGATGAGTGTATACTTCATTTATATATAGAGATGACTAGCAGAAATACTGGTGGACACATCGGATGGAAATATACTCAGCTCAGCTCAACAAAGCCTTTTCCTAACTATTTGGGGTTGGCTACATCCTGTTCTGCAATTCTGCTCTACCTAAGCCGTAGCCTAACTAGTTTGATATGCATTTATATACTTTCATGCATTTATATAATCTCATGCATTTATACATGAATGCAACATAAAAGTGATTTGCTTTGTCATATGCATAAAAATATGTGCATGGTCCTATCTGTCATATTGATTGACATGCTTGCAAATGTGTTGAGGTTTGGGGTTTTCTCTTTCTTGTTGTTCGACTGAAGTCATGCAATTTAATTTCTCATTTCATTCAGGTTTTTGAGAAGTCCCTGCTGTGCACTTTTTCAAGCTTTGACGAGGTACAAGCACTTTTGCCTATCTGCTTGATTGCATCGCATTTAACTTTAAATCTTTGAGTGTTCCCTTTGTTTTTTTATGTGTGTGGTAGAAAGTTATTGGTTGTAAGAAATCAATCATATTTAGAGCACTTTACAATACCATTTGCTTCATGAGTGAGATTTGTTATGCTCCAAACCTTTTTTTTTTTTATAAGTAAAAAGTATATTAGAAAAGCCTTCAAAAGGGGAACGCGTCCCTAATACAAGAAGAAAAAAGACCTAAGGACCAATAGCATCCAAAAGATCAAAGAAATCATCAATCGAGGAGCATTCGCTTGCTCTTACATAACAGAACAGAGAACGAAGAATATAAAATTTCACATTTGCTGAAGACTATTCTTTTCCATCAAAGTTTATGTCATTCCTCTCACGCCATAGACACCACCAAACACAATGTGGAACAATCCTCCAATAATCACGATCATGTTCTTTAACAGGACATCATCTCCATGCGTTGATCAATTGTGAGGAGTGCTTAGGCATTACCCAATAAACGCCAAACATGCTAAAAGTAAAACTCCAACAATCGTACGCCATAGGACAGTGCAAAAGAATATGATCCACGGATTCACCATCTGCTTTACATAAACAACACCAATTGACAATGATGTTGCCTTTCTTTCTCAAGTTGTCCAATGTTAAAATATCTGGACAGCAGCAGCTAAGGAAGAAATATCTGGAACATCCCCCACTGGAACAAGCACACTCTTTCCAACATTAATCTTTAGTCCAAAAACCGCTTGGAAGCAAGCAAGAATGCGCCTCAAATATCTGAGTTGAGAGACTTCGGCATCACAAAAAAACCAAAGTGTCATCCGCGAACAACAAATGGGAGATATGCATCTAATGTTCAACATCTCTGCCAACTCTGAACCCCCTGATGTAACCCAAATCTTCCGCTTTTCTCATTAATCTGCTCAGTCCCTCTATGACAATAAGGAAAAGAAAAGACAATAATGGGTCTCCTTGTCTCAGACCACGCGAGCTAGCAAAAAAACCCGCAGGGAACCATTCACGAGCACAGAGAACATAACGAACGAGATACAAGTTTCAATCCATTTTATCCACCTGTCTCGAAACCCCATCCCCCAAAGTATATACATAACAAACTTCCAATTAACGTGATCATAGGCTTTCTCAATATCAAGCTTACATAAAGGAACCCCACTTTTCAATCTAGAGTCAACACATTCCCTTGCGATAAGAACAGAATCCAAAATCTGCCGTCCACCAACAAAAGTATTATGTGATTCTGAAATAAGACCATCCAAAACATTACTCATCCTGGAGACAAGAACCTTGGCAATGAGCTTATACAAACATCCTATTAAGCTAATTGGCCGAAAGTCCTTAATATCAGAGGCACCGCCATTCTTGGGAATGAGAGCAATAAAAGATGCGTTCAGTGATTTCTCAAATGTGCCACGAGAATAAAAATAGTTCACGTCTCTTAGATCTGTTGCGGTTCATCGCATGGCTGTTACAGTGCCAAAATGGTCATTACACCTTGTATTTCAACACGACTTCTATAATGCTCCTTAATGGGTTCAGAACTTGCTGATATTGTTATGTAGCATTATATGGAGCTTTTGTAACTATGAAAATATGAATTGATTGAAATAAATTGTTGCATGATGGAATATTATATACCGCATTTCCTTTGAATTAATCCAATGTCAAAGAATAAATAAAAGAACTTTGATTCTCAATTTCTCACTAGCGTTCAGATGTTGCCAAAGTTCATGGAAACCCAGTGGAGCCTCTTTGGTTTTCATGGAATCTTGTCAACGTGCATCTGAGTTTCAGGGAGTCAGTAGTCTTGTTGGATCCTCAGTGGTCTTTGTTGAAGTTTGATGAAACATTCACTGCATTAATGAACCTTGTTAGAAGTCACTAGCACTCATAGAAGTTTGTTGAAGTTATTGGATTCCAGGGAGCCTCAGTCAAATTTCACCTACCTTCACGGAACATAAGAGAGCAAGTTACTATTCATTGTAGTGTGAGTTACTGCTCCTCTTACGGTATGAAAGAAATAAAAATTTAAAATTATGATGCATTTTAGTAAGTAATTAACCATTAGTTTCGGCACTCACCTTAATCTACTGGAGGTCGGATCAGGCTTCCTTAAGAGTGGGTGAGCTTTTGTCAAAGGTTAGTGAATGTTGCAACAGGATTCTATTAACACCTACAATCATCAATGAACTGAACGAACAAGCTTTCATAGAAGCTCCATTATTTTCACTTAAAGTTTGGACCTTCCCATCTTCCAAGCTCATGGAATATTGCTAGAAAGTTCTATGATTCTGAAGTTCGCTAGTTTCTCACTGTTGTTAATATACGTGCAACTTTGTAATTATATAAATAGTATAGAAAGGACAGATCACTTATATGAAGGCTTACTAATGCCAGTTAAGTTCAATTGTTCCAGATTATTTAGCATGGTTCATATTCCAATAATCTCCTTGGTTGTTACTCAAGTCCCACGAGATTCCTGAATCCTGGCAACATTTCATTAAGTTTACATGAATGCTTGTAATTTCTGGACGAACTGTGAATGTTGAAAGGCCTCTGTGAAAAAGCTTACGGTTATTTTTTCTTTCTTTTATTATTATCAATTTACCTGGGTAGAATGTCAGAGTGAGAAAGTACTAGGGTATTTATTTGGTGTTAAAGTAAAAATAGAATAATATTTAATGTTTTATCTTTTTGAATCAGTAATTTTATATGGCATGAAGCAATTACTCTTCCATTTGTTTTTTGTTGGTGGTTTGTGTAATTATATTTGTCCTTCGAAAAAAACAATCATTTTACTTGATGACTAATTTATTAAAAAAGGGTATAACGGAACTTTTGGGATTTCACTTGGGAAGCTGTATTATAGGTTTTAAAACTTTGACATTGGATTGAACTTTATTTAATATCAAAAGCGAACTTGATATGCAGAAGTTTAGGGAAGTTCAAATTTTAAACCTTATATGTAAAAGGTTTTTAAATGTGTTGAATTTTGGTGGTGTGAAAGTAGAAATGTGGTTCTGTTATTTTTCCGGTGCATGAAGGCTTAAAACCTTGGCCTCTGTCCTTATTGTTTTCTTAAGTGTCATTCTTCTTATATTGCTGCATTTGTATCTGAAGAAATGGCTTTATTTAGTTAAATGGGCTCTCTTTTTAGAATCTGTAGTCTAAACTCTGGGTTGTGTTCAGGTCATACCGATCAGGGGTCTGGGCTTCTATGCACAAAATCTGTGGAGGGGACTCCCCTTATGTGATAGGGTAGAGTTCTATTATGCAGAACTCTCCTCAAATTGGTCAAGGAGTTGGTGACTCCATTGGCTCATAAATTGATGTATAATAAGCCAACAATGAATTTGGTCTTTTTGCCATAATTGTATCGTCTTGGAGTTTTTGCACAGGCCTGATCTTTCATGGAAAATTAATTTCTTTCTTTCATCTCTCACTTTTTCTTTGTCAAATTTCCTTTTAATCATTTTCCTTTGGATATGGTAGGGTGGTAATTGTTACTCTGTTGGTTCAATTCTATTTCGCAAAAATTTTCCTTCTTCTGTTGAGACACTTTCCCAAGGTTTCAACTAAAAAGAAGAATAGATTGTGAAAGAAACTTTGCACAAAGAATAGAAGCAATAAAATGTAAAATGCCTTTGCATGAAATGCTTTTATCTAATGCATTCTTAAATGATTCCACATTGGAAGGAGTCGCAGTCTTGATTCTCATTTGCTGTGACACGCTATTGTACATATGGACAGGGGAAGCATCTCCATTAAATCAAGGCCACCTCTTGTATTGCCATTTAATCCACTGGTTTTATATGTGCTCGTATACTATCTAGCTTACAGTGTTCTTTGAGTATGAATGTTTCAGCTAGGTCCAACTTTCTGTGTGACCTAAATATTTCCCAATTTGTTGCCAGATCTGGCATCACTTGGCAGTCCATGTTCCAAATTTCTGGATACCCTCTCTTATTGCACAACTGGTCTTTTATTTGTGAGCTTTGTTGGTGAGATCCATTTCCTCTATTGTCTTGTTTCAGACACATCTAGGGAGATTGGTGGTGCATACATCACGTGTTTCTATTGTAAAATTTTATTCAAGTTCTTTATCTTCTGGAATTTGTTAACATGACCTTCATCAAAATTGTTGTTGTTAAAGACACTTGAACTCTTCATTTCAGTACCTTGATATATTCCTCACTAGAGTTGATAGCTTAAGGCGGAGAATCTCGTCATCTGGTGAACTAGAGGATGCCTTGGATTATTCAATAATAAGGGACACATTCCAGGTTTGTTTTATATTCTACTTGACAGTGTATTCGCTGGTTGCAGAACTTGTATCCTTTCCCTGTTACGTAGATTTCACAGTTTGTCAAGTAGGCATGTTACTTACTCATCAATTATAATATGGTTGATTTTTCGTCTTCGGTGTCATTTTCCAATTTGTCTCGTCTTTTTGCTTCATCTGTACCTTCGTCAGGGGTTATGATAGTTTTCTTGTTGGATAGTGTATTTGGCAATTGGCTATACTTGGTATGCCAATTGCAAAAATTGTATGGTGTTGAATTAGCATTAGTCAAATCATGGCAAACGGGTGAAGTATACAACAACGACAACAACAATAACAATAACCATATTGCTCTTGCACACTCGTAATCTTTGTAGATCTTCTATCATCGAGCATTGTTGAAACTGAGGATCTGGTATGACATTTGAGTTTAATATGAAAACAGGTTTTGGGGGTAATGGTAATGGCTGCTATAATGGTAACGGACGTGGAGGTCTAACTGGGGTACATAATGTTTGTGCCTGCCGTGACCGTGAATTTTTGTCTACATTGCCCAACTCTCAGCCAAATGTCCCGACATTCATGTTTTAACTTCGAAATCTTGTAAAATTGTGGGGTTTTAATGTTTTTTTCGTTAACTTTGTTGAAATTAGAAGTTCATTTAACATGGGTAACATATCAGTAATTATTTTTCAATATAAATTGATTAAGTAATAATCAGTTATTATTAATTACATTATTAGTAGTTTAGTGTATGGTAATTACTAACAGTCTAATATACTAAACATGTCTAATGGAAGGTAAAATTTTATGTTTCTTTTGGCTTCTCTTTGAGTTGGAAAATTCTAATATTACATAACTTGTTTAAAAATTGAGTTTGTATCAAACCTTTATATGTGTGTCACATATGAATGAAAAAACTTGACAACGTCTGCACCAAACATTTTTGGCCACTTCAGTGGCTTCCTTTATTATGCAGTATGGTAACCTATGGTGCTGTGTTGCTAATCTGGACATTCTGGGCACTAGGCAAGTTGTTTTGGTTGTCTAGCTTTGCAAGGGATCATCTCAAGTTTTGTGGTGTTTAGGTTTCTGCTGACATTTAATACCTGAAATATGCTTTTCTTATAAAACAAAATATATTATATATTTCATTTATTCTTGTCAAAGTGAAGTAGTTGTACTAAACCTTGGTAGCTCTTTACTATGGTACACAGTAGCCGCGAGTGTCAAATGACTCAAATGTCTTGTTTCCTTTACTTTGATATCATATACAAGTAGAATATCCATGTTCTGAACCTGAAAGTTCACTCTCAATTCTCAAAAAGTTTAGTTACTTCAAAGCGGTGTATTAGTCTCAGGCACTTAGTTTAATTTCAAATTGTTCAATAACTACGCGATTCGGGAAAAATCCATTCGGTACTGGCGGACCTTGAACTTTGGTCTTTGATATGTATTAACTGATATGTATGTTTACGCAACAGCTATCTGGTTATTCATAGAAAGCCTTGAAGATTTGTGTATATTCAAATCATGAAGCTGTTCATATTCAAAAACTAGAAGGATGACACCTGTAATTTTCATGCATATTGGGACAAGCAAGTAGTTATTTGTGTTGTAGGTGTCCCCCATGTGCCACCAATGTTGCACATACAACACTACCAACATGGCAAACAGATAAAGATCGAAAAGTCAAAATTATCACGTCATCGAGGAGTTCTTCCCCATAGATAAACCTCGAAGGCATATGAAACTCGAAGAGTTTTTCCCCTCAGATGAACTTCAAGTTCAAAAGATAAAACTTGAAAAGAACCACGAAGCTTGGAGTTCTTCCCTACAGATGAAGGAACGAGGAGTTCTTCCCCACAGTTAAACCTCGAAAATTGCAAATCTTGAGGAGCTCTTCCAAATAAATAAACCTCGAGTTAAGGAACAAGGAGTTATTCCCTACAGATAAACCTCTAACTTCTAGAACCTCGAGGAGCTCTTCCTCTTGGATAAACCTCTGACCCCTCGAAGAATTCTTCCTTACAGTTATACTTAGTGTTAGAGTTATTATCCCACAAATAAACATCGAAGTACTCAAAGCTCAAGGAGCCTCGCCCACAACTCCTTGGATCCTCAAGCCAATAATACTCAAATGACTAATAAATCTAGGCATGGTTTATTAACCTCCCCATATGATATTCAGAAGGGATTTGGAATGGAGGATGGGAACTAGAGTTCGTCCAAACACTAAGTTTTTGACCTGACCCTAGGGAGGGGAACCTATGTGCTCTGACAGGGATCTCTATAGATACAAAATTTTAGCCTACCCCAACTGCCACCTAGAGCAATAAATGCTCAACCAGCTTCATTAATATGACCATGCACACTCTATGTAGAGTAGCTAGGGAGGCTGATTAGTATCAACCTCGAATCCCTCGAGTTACTCTATGTAGAGTAGCTAGGGAGGCTGATTAGTATCAACCTCGAATCCCTTGAGTTATTGTCCTACAGTCACTATCTAGAAGACTGGCAGATGATTCTCCTTGAAGTATTACCCAATGGTCATTGACCAACCAACAATATATTTTAAATAGTGCGAACTTCAGAACATTAAGCTTAGAGGGCCTTACCATTACTACCAGCATCCAATACCTTAAAAATTGTAGTCTTGAGCATAGTTGTTAAAGGCTCAAGGCGCACTAATGCGCCAAAGGCCTTCTGGAGCCTAAGCTCAAGGTGCAGTATAAGGCGCGAGCTTGATTGAAGCAAGGCGCGTGTATATAATAATTCATATTTCAACATATATTATTATATATATTCATAATCCAGCAGCAATTGCAGTTAATTTAAGTAGTGAACCATAAATTTATGAATTTTGTCAAATATTTCATAAGGTTAAACAATACGATAAATGATGTAGAATCTTTTAATTAGTATTCATTAAGTAAAAAATAAATTGATATGAATAAATGATTAAAAAATACAAGGCGCGCCTCTTTTGAGCCTCGAGCCTACTAAAAAGCGTGAGCCCAAGGGCTTTATGTGAGCCTGATTGAAGGGGCCTGGCCTGTAGTAGGTTGAGGCGCTCTAGCTGAGCCTTGACGAGCCTGGGGCTTTTTTGGAGCCTAAGCGCGCCTTTAACGACTTTGGTCTTGAGCTCATTGCATTCCTGCCTTCCCTCAAATCCTTGGAATTTACCTTGTTCTCCCCTCCATCCATTTCATATTCTTTGGGTCCCGTTATTATTGCTTGTGATATCTCTATATTGATTGCTTATCATTAGTTTATTGTTGGTATTAGAGAACTCTCACACATGTTATAACTTTGTATTATTTAATTTACTTGTTCCAGCGTGCATCTGATTACCTATCACCTCACCTCAAGAACATGAGTAGTTTGTTACGGATGCATACTTACTGGGCCCGTTTGGAATCAAATCTGGGAAATAATTTAGCTGCAGCTCGTGGAGTTTGGGAGAGCTTACTTAAAAATAGGTTTGATCATTGCTTTTTGCCATTTGCAAAATGTGTCACGGTGTCTTCCATTTTTAATCACGTGGCTTGTGTATAACATGCTGTTTTTTCCTTATGCAGTGGCTCTATGTTGGAAGCCTGGCAAGGGTATGTAGCAATGGAAATTGAAATGGGCCATATAAGTGAGGCTAGATCCCTCTATAAAAGATGCTACAGTAAACGATTTTCTGGGACAGGCTCGGAGGTATATTTCTTGTTGACTGTAGTGAACCATATTTCACCAATTTCTTTTTATAATTACTGTTAATAGCTTGGTTATAATTTGTATTTTATTTTTGAGATGTTGCAAAATCCTGTGGGGGCTTTATCATAGAAGTTCTAGGTCTTTCTCCTGATGCAAATAACTAATGGCGCCTTGAAAAGTGTCTTGCTATTTAACAAAGTCAAAATTCATCGTTGTTTTATATTCATTGAGGTTTCAAGCAAAGTGATAGCTTTGGTAGTTGTTAAATGTTCCCATGTGGTGTGGGAATTGTAAAAGTCATTCTAGGAAAAATCAGGGTTATTGGTAGTTATATTGTAGAAGGGCAGCCCCCTTTTCTGCTGTAACAAGTTTTGTCAGTATAATTTCAGTATTTAATGAGACCATAAACTAGCTTCAGGCTTTTCTGATTTTTAGAAATCTAGACATGATTGGATTAATACTAGACTTTCTTACGACTTTAACTGAGCTATTTTCAATCTCTGATTGCTTCACTGAAGCCTGTTATAAGTGAAGTTGAGACACTTTCTGGAGAAAAAAGTTGAGACTCTTCTCTCTCTTGTTCTTTTTTGAGACCCTCTTCCGGGAGTTGTAAGAGGTTGCCCTCTAGCTTGAAACCTACTCTAAATGGATGGATGCTGAACCTAAATTCTTGTTGTCAAAAAGGACAAATCAGTTTCAACAATTGTTAGGAAAGTTTTTTTTTTCTTTTCAATATTATGCATAAGTGGTTACAAATAAAAATTGAATGAAAATTTTCTCAAAAATATGGGTGACAAGACCTTGAATTCTTAAATTTAGGATTTTGTGCGATTAGTCAATTTTTTAAGGCTTTGGGGGTAAACATGAGTAGTTGCAGAGCCAGGAATTTCTTTAGTGGGGCAACCATGAACAATAATGAGATTTTCTTGAACCAAAATAATGAATACATTAATTTAAAGGTGGATTGATAGTTTTTACATTTAATTAACACAATCATTCATACACTCGATAAGTTTTTCGTGTTTTGAAAGCGCTGCATGATAACCTAATTATCAATGTTGTTAAATATATCATTCTTAGTATGTATAATCAAATATGGCTCTGTTATAGTATAGTTATTTTCTTTGTGGTTAAAATAAAAAATAAATTTTTTAAAAAATCTAGACAAGAAACACAAGCCATCAAATGAAATGAGTCACTAAGGCGCATAAATGTGATTTTCCCTCTTTCCTCCATTCATTTCTTGGTTGAAATTATTTTGGGTTCCTTGACTAAGTTTCATTGACGAGACCGGACAATTTTGGTTGGTGTATCTGACCCTTTCGTGGTGTACTTGGTGAATGTGGTGTCTTTTCCAGGTCCACTGTTTTAGTATAAAATTATTTCTTTTATTATTTTCTATGAAGGGGAATTTGGAATGGATTAATATGTTTTGCCTTTTTCTAATTTCCAATTCTGCTATTCTAATTTTAAAATGGTGGGCTATTTTATTTATTTTTTATTATTATTATTTAAACCTTTTTGTCTGAGTTGTTTGCCTATCCCTGTATTTGTTTGTTTATAAAAGAAAACTGTTGATCTTGTATTAATAGGCTGACTGATTTTCTAGTCTTCTTAGTACTTTTTGGATTAGATGATACCTTCCTTTCCTAAAAAACAGAATCATTCAGGACATATGCCATTCTTGGTTACGGTTCGAGAGGGAATTTGGTACACTGGAAGATTATGATCATGCTGTACTGAAGGTACTATTTCGTGCTGCAGTTTAATTTACATCCTTCATTTACCAATCTAGCTCTATGTCCTGATACTATTTGGCAACATTTTTGCATTGCAACATCTACTAGGATTTCAGATATATAGAAATATATAATGCATCCTTGAGTACTTAATTGAAAGTTAAATGAAATGCCAATAACATTTTGCTACAAGAAATATATATTGACGTATATAATCCAGCGAGTGATGTGTTATTATATAATTTAGTGATATATCAACATTTTTGAAAGTTATACCAATTGCAACATAGTTAAATACCAATTGTAAAATAGTTATACCAATTGTGACATAGTATTTGCTCTACTGGGTGATATATGCAGATTGCAGACATAAATTTCTAGTCTTAAAAAAAGTGGTAACTTGTCATATCCTAAGATTTAATTTGGTCTTTTAGTCGTATTTAGTGATTCTTAAACGTGCTTAGTGGCTCTTAATTGTACTTAGTGACTTTTAATCACGATTAGTGACCTTTAATCATGAATAGTGAAATTGGGTATAAAGTATGATTTATTGAAATTATGGGATTTTATTTGGAGGCATTTGTGTGATTATTTAGTTGGTAGGGGAGAGGTTGCAATTAAACCGAAATCTGTCTTGGTGGCAGCCATGTGTCAAAGCCATAAGAGTCTTCCTAATACCTGGTCTTATATCACAACCCAAGAGAGACGTGTAACCTTGCACCTGTTACTGCCAGCTGCCTTCTCTTCTATTACATGCACACTTGAACCAAGACAGAAAAGAAGACAGTACAGAGGGAGAAAGAGAGGTCCGGTGAGGTTTCATTGTGAGAAAGAGAGAAGAAGGAAGGGAAAGGAAGAAGAAAAAAGGAGCTGGGTGTTAGAATACTTCATCACCTCATCCCCATCTTCATTTTTGTCATCTTTGGGTAGGGTTCTCTATACCTTGAGTTGCTTGGAGTGGTTTTATTTCCTAAATTCCTTAGTTTGGCCATGAAATTATCTGTTTTAATTGCTACATGTGTTTCACTCAAATTGGTACTCAAATCCTGATGTTGTTCATCCTTTCTTGAGTTTCTTGTTCCATTTTGCTGAGAAACAACCATGTCTTGTATATATACTTTTTGTGATACAAATGATTATATTTTTTGTAAACTCACTTCCATGTGCCTTTAAACCTCTTTGAAGCTCCTGTTATGGTTTTTCCTACTGGGCTATTAGCTCACCCTATCATTTTTCTGGCACCCAAAGATCAATTGGAGATTTGGGAGTTGCTGACTAGCTCTATTTAGGGACCGCGCCATTTTTGTATGTTAGTAATCTTCTGAAGTGCTTGTTAAGAGCTGACTTGACAATCTTAATGTAATTGAAGCCAGATTCTATGATATATAATGTGTGGTAAAGGATTTTGGGTGATTGGGACTACATTCTGATGTGGGTTGTATGTCGAAAGGAAGTGATGGAAAGTAGGCTGTTTTGTGTTTAAACCTCAGTTTTGGATCGTGATAGATTATGATGACTTCTGTGGGCGGGTGTTAGACACTGGACAAGCTACAGGGTATCACCCTTCTATGATATAATGCGTTTTAAAGTGCAATATGTAGGTTCATCACCCTTCTATGATACAATGCGTTTTAAAGTCGTGATGGTCGTGAACCCATCAGAATTCCGTAGTTAAGCATGCTTAAGTTGGAGTGGTACCAGGATGGGTGACCCCCTAGGAAGTATTTGGTTTGGGGAGTCAAAAGCGGACAATGTTGTATGTGGATAGGGTGAGGGTTGTTACAAATGGTATCAGAGCCAAAGCCCAACCGAAAGTGTGGCCAACGAGGACGTTGGGCTCCTACAGGGAGTGATTGTGACGACCTCTGTGGGTGGGTGTGATGTGGGAGGGTGCGAGACACTGGACGAGCTACCACACTAGCAGGCTACAGGATATCATGATCCCACATCGCTTGGGAAATTTGAAGTGCTAAGTTGGTTCAACACCCTTCTATGACACAACGCGTTTTAAAGCCGTGATGGCCATGAGCCCATCAGAACTTCAAAGTTAAGCGTGCTTACTCTGGAGTAGTACCAGGATGGGTAACCTCCTAGGAAGTCTCTTGTCCGGGAGAGCCAAAAGCGGACAATATTGTGTCGGTGAGGGTTGTTACATAACTGATACTCCCTCCACCCCAAAATACTTGCCACTTTTTCCATTTTTTGTTGTCCCAAAGTTTGGTTCCCATTTGAAAAGTCAGTGTAGATATGGTATATTTTCCAAAATATCCTTAATGTTTGAAAAGTTATTCAAACTGATAATGTGTATTTTTTAACATTAATTGGGTTGTTTTTTTATTTTAAAAGGGTACAATGCATTGACTGCATTTCCACTTAAAAGTTGGAATACCGAAAAGGGACACGAATTTTTTGACACAGAGAATATAATACAATTATTTTTTTTTTTTTAAAATGAGTGCAGTCTCGGGATATTCTTCCATAGAAGAATGATCATTTGTTCCTCTATTCAAGATCTTCGATTTGAAGGTGACGTTGAATTTCGACACTGAACTGTTAAATTTTCCAACTTGATTAGGGAAGGAAGTGTGACCTTATTTGTTACGATTGTTTGAGTCTCCAAGCCTTGATTATAGAAGATATAAATGAAACTTTGTCATGATTGGTTGCTTTAAGATGCTTCACAAAGAGTTTTCTTCAGCTCAAAGGTTTTACAGAGTTCTTTAGTTATTTATTTATTATGCTTATGGAAACTAATTGTCTGTAAAATTGTGTGTGGTTTGCTCCTCTCACCTATTGGATGCAACTGTATGTAGTTATTTAGTGGGTGAGGGTCATGGTTGGAATGGAATTCCTTCATAATTATTTCCTTGTATATGTATAACTACAAGAAACAAACCCCTGGGCCCCCCTCTTTATAAGATTTGATAGTAAGGGGCTGTTTGATAACTCAAGTCGGCACTTAATTCTGAATGAATGAAGTGTTTTTCCAATTAAGTACCATTGATAATACAATTTATTAAAAAGGTAAGAGCCACTTAAAATGAGTTAAAATTTTAAGTGACACTTGCTTTACTACACTTGAATTCAAAAAGATATAAATAAATCTTAGGTTTTAAATTATCACTTTGAATTCAACTCTTTAAATTTTCAGTTTTATGAAACAGCATTTGTGAAGAGGAAAATAAGTGCCAAGCATAGAAAGAATAGGCCTTTAGAGTGTATGCCTTTAGGTAGTAAGGTAAGATTTTTCTCGTCTTTTTATTTTTTAATATTTTTTAGGGAATAAGAATTTATATTGTTATCACCAAAAAGAGGTGCAGCTCATGCACACAGGGATTACAAGATCTATGACTAGACGCCCTCTATACAATTTATATCAGGTATATGAAAAACAAAACGGTGTTTCGAATTTGGAAATTTTTAGAGATTCTAAACTGTGAATAGTTCAACATCAAATGCTTATTATTGTGGGATGGATTTTCCACATTCTTGAAGGTGTGTTTTTTATTTCTTTCCAAATATTCCATATTTAACAAAGAGAATGCATATGGAGTGTTTGCCTTACCATTTCTTCCTAGACAACAAGAGAGTATTGAGCATACCACAACATGACTCGACAAATCATGAAAAGAGAGAGCAACATGATATTCATACTTTGTGCCACCTTATAGTTATGAAAGGAAATTATGGCCTTGTGTATCTTATAAATTGCATAAACTAAGTAGGAAGCAGCTTGCCTCTCTGCAGCATTGGCAAAATGACATCCCAAATGGCCGCTTATATTAAAATTGACGCCTTGGTGGGCATTTTGACCTTACGATTATATACCATTGACCATTCTACCAAGTTATTTGGCCCCTTCCATATGATATTCACCAGTTAGGGGAAAGAAGCCATACTATACTGTATATTCTATTTTTGGACCTTTTTTTTTAATTTGTTTTTCTTGTATGAAGAAAATGAGATTCAAGTGATATCAATGTTATCCCTTGAATGATGTCATACTGTATCCCGTGAATTATATCAATCCATAATCTTCATTTTGAGACTTCACTCACTTTTTATCTTGTTTCCAATTTTGCTTTTTAAAATTTGTTTTCATCTCTGGAAAGAGATTAGAAGATAGTTGCCAATCTGGTGAATGAAGCTTAATTTTCTGCCTGCTTCCTAGGTGACTCCTCGTCTGGAAGAGTTACAATTATTCAAATTACAGCAGGAGAGCAAAATCCTTGGCACATCGATAGATCAGAAAGATGATTCCTTTAAGAAAAATTTGCATGAAAAGAGAAAGGCCTCCTCAAACATATCTGATGAGAAGCCTCCAGCAAAACGTAAGAAAGATACAGCTCCAAATGCAAGACAAGCGTATGAAAAAGATAATTCTCAAACAAGGAATTCATTTAAAGCAAAGACAGTGGAAGATGTCAAAGTCCACGATGGCAAGCCAGGCAGTGCACATGAGGAGAAAATGAAAGATATTACCCCTGAAAAGCCCCGAATCTACAATGACAAATGCACTGCCTTTGTATCAAATCTTAGCCTCCAGGCGAGTTATCAACTGCGTCTTCTCCTTTTTAGATAGGCATGTGCTCGTGCACATATTCAAACAATAAAACCGGTATTTCTTTTCTGTTATATGCTTGTATATCAAAACTTATTGGGGCAATGATATCGTATACAGGCAAATTATGAAGATTTACGTGGTTTCTTCAGTGATGTTGGTGGAGTTACTGCAATCCGAATATTAAATGACAAGCAGACTGGAAAATCAAGGGTATCTCTCTCTTATTTTATCTTTTTATCCCCGTGTTTTATGCATTTCAAATGTGAAATGAGAAGATGCATTTCCATATTAGTTGGGGAGTGCAAGTTAGTAGTTCCATATTATGGATGTCAAACATATAGTTGTTCATAGACCACAATGCTGTGAGTTGATGTTGATAATGCAATTCATGCGGAATGCTCCTTTATATGAAGCTTCTAAAAGGAACTGTTTCTGTCTACAATCTCTTGGCCTTAATATACCCCTTGAAAATAAGTAATTATTTATTTTTTATTAAGATGAAGGTTGATTCACTCTAGTGAAGAACGTTTTTCATCCTAGGAGAAGTGTTCATGTCAGTCCCGTTGCAGCTTTGTTTCAATTATTTTATTTGCTAGACCTTATTTATTTGTATGTTTCATATTTGATGTAATATATCAAGTAGGTTAAACTATTAAGCTCTGTTCATACTAGTGCAGGAACTACTATCCATGCTATTGTGGTCTAATACTTCTTGTGGTATTGTAGTGGTTGACTTGTAATTTTTTTTGTATCTTTTCATTCATCTTTTCTTGTTTTTAATTGATACTGATTAGTTTAAATCAAGGTCATCGGTTTACTGTTATTTGGGTTTCCTGTTTTGAAGTTGGTTATTGGTCAGTTGAGAGATTGTAAGTTTTACAGTTGGCTATAATTTTATTGTTCAGGAGATGTCTTTCTTCATTTTCTTCTCATTCTGTTTATTTTTTTATTGTGACGCAAATTTAGTGATAAATAAGCACATTCCATTTCACTTATTGGGGAAATTTGTATTGACTTGGGGGCTTAAGGTATTACTTAATTTATGCCAAAGGCCAAACATTCTTCTTAGTCAGGTTTAGCCTATTGTTCCCTTTGGTACAGAAATAGAATTTTACTCTTATCTTTTGAAGGGTAGATTTCACAGATAAGAAGCACAGTCTCTCCTCTAGTGGTGTCGTGTCCATGTCTGACATGTTCGGATGGCCAGAACTGAAGTGACGTCGAATTTGATATATATGATATATATATTGCTGGTTGGACACGGTGGGACACGTTTGGATACTTTCACGACATGGCGAGTTCGATTTGTAATTAATTTTTAAAAAATATTCCAATATAATTCTAAAACATATTATGGTTTTATAAGAAAAATAATATGAAGTTTCAGAAAACAAAATCAAGCTGTAAATTAGTGATTACATCCATGATAATTTAGATAAAATCAATCATTTTTTATATAATATAATATAATATTATTATTTTTCTGTCGTATCTGTCATGTATGTGTCCTATTTTTTTGAAATTTGCCAATGTGTCCTGTCTGTATCATGTTGTACCCATGTGTTGTGTCCATGCTTCTTTGTTTCACAGCTAGATTCGGAAAAAGCATGATAAAAGAATGGCCCAAATGGTACGATTCCTCCATAATCCCAGAGTGGAAAGGGTGTACTCATAATTCGTGGTCTGTGAAATGTGTCACTTGGTGTTCCATTATTAATTTTTCATCAAAGCTGCACCTCTAAGCCGCATATGAAGCATCCAAAACACGCATGCAATTTAGTATATATGCAATATCCTCAAGCTTAGCTCAATCTCACATTTTTCTTCTTTTTGTGGCTGCCGTTGTACTTACTCCATGAAGCATGCTATACAAGGGTTTTCTAGACGTGCTTTTGGGTTCTTCATGTTAAGCTGAAAGTTTTATCCCTTTTGTGGTAAAATAGGAATATTTTTGGTATACGTGATACTCTTTGAGCCTTGTACAAGTAATTTGTTATTTTGCAATGGTTGAGATACATCACTTCGGTTGGATGCTGGTCAATGAAATCCAGGGCTTGTTTCCTATCAAAACTTGAAATTTTATTTTCTTGCCTTTCCTTTTTCTTTCTTTTTAAGCTGGCATCGACGGTTGTATTAGATTTAGTTAATTCATCCAATCGATTAAGAAATGGGGTCAAAAGTGCTGAGAGTGTTACCCATGTCTGGGTGATATCCAAAATTGCATGTGGTTTCAATTTAGAGAGGGAAGTGCCAAGTTTAGGTATTGGCTGTACATATATAATTATGCAGGGAATACTCATCCTCGGGATAAACAAGTGAAGGGATAGTTACAATGTTCGCTAATGGTTGTGGAGTGTTTATGTTCATGTTAATTTCAAATAAGTAATTTAATGCATTCAAATGAATTCTGATACTTGATTCCCATTTTGTGCAGGGATTGGCGTATGTGGATTTCTCTGATGATGCACTCCTTGCTGCAGCTGTTGCAAAGAACAAGCAAATGTTTCTTGGAAAGAAATTAAGCATTGCACGGTCAAATCCAAAGAAAGGCAAAAATAGAGAACATGGTATGCTAATAATGCATGCTTTTGGGGGTGTTTATGACATGTTCATTATGAATTGCATGCATTCTTTTTCTTGCCAAATCAATCAGGTCATTGTGAAAAATCTTGCCAGTAAGATTGAGATATGCGCTTATATATTCGTTGTTCACTTATTAGAAAAGTAAAACAAAACTAATACTCTGTTCAGTATGAAGGAACAGGTGTGGAGAAAAATAAGAAGGAAAATTTTTATTCGTTCGGTAGAGAGCAGATAAGGAGAGAGGATAATAGTAGGGGTGAGTCATCCATCCAAATATGGCTGGAAGAGAGGAGGGAAAACAAGAATTATTATAGAAATTTTAAATTAAATACTATCCTAAATTATACAAGTTTAAAATTACAATACTATCATCTATAAGTTATAATATGATAGATAGTGACAGGTATAATGGTAAAAATAATATGAAACTCTATCTTCCTTTCTCTTAATGAACACAGTAAATTGTGAGCTTATTATCGAACAAAAAGAGAATAGAACACAAATCTCTTCACTTGGGATGTCTTATTCATCCCTTCTTCTCTCCCTTCCATCCAAAATTTTTCATTCCTAACCAACGAAGCATAAATGAAATGCTATTAAAATAATTAAATTTGAAGAATTTTTTTTTTTGTAAATTTGTCTCTTGTCCTCATGTCAATTTACATTCCATGGTGAAACAAAAAAAAAAAAAAAAAAAAAAAAAAAAAAAAAAAAAAAAAAAAAAATGAAAAAGTATTCCTAGCACTTGGTGTGGATACAGTGGTAAGGTCATGAGATTTGACAAATTATAATTCTAGAACTCTTGCGTAAAATTTTGGAACGTGGACAAAATTTTTTTTCAATATTAATGAATGAGTAATCAATTACTTGATCTAGAAATCACAATATGACTAGGTTCTTTGCTACAAAAGTTAGATGTTACTTGGATCGTTATTACTTAATAAGCAATTTTCCCAGAAGATTAAGGATGGGCTTATACCAGTTGATTGGTTACAACCTATACTTAAAAAAGAAATCAATGTCTCCTTGATATGTCCTGTTACAACCCTCCTCACACTAAGAAGATATTGTGTGCTTTGCACTCTCTTGGCACTCACGATCTTATCACCTTTGTGAGTGTCAACAACAACTCCCGTCATGCCATTTGAGACGTTACAATCACTCCCTCTTTGAACCTAGCATCCTTGCCCGCGTGATCCTAATCTCCCCTATATTTCGGCTGGGGATTGGCTCATACCATGGTCAATAATATTGTTTGTTTTTAGCTCCCCCTCACAGATTTAAAATGTGTCATTGATGTATGGTGTATAATCCTCCTCCCCCCTACAATCTCAACAACTTTTGACTTCCCAAATGATGTGGGTGTAACATGTATGATATTGTCCGCTTTGGCCTGAGCTCGGACAGTTTTGGTCTTGGGTCCCAAAAGGTCTCCTACCATTTGGAGATAGCACTGGCATATATAAGCACTTCACCTTAACCTTACCTAAGAAATGTGGAATTGTGTAACCTGTAGCTTGCCTAGTGTGGTAGGTCGCTCAGTGTCTCACACCAGCCCACATAGGTCGCCACAGTGGGAGTCCAGTCCACAGGTGTCCACCACCCGCACACATGTGCGACTCAAGACACTGGTCCAACTGCATGGCTCAAATCCGCATATTTCTGGTTGGGCATTAGCTCTAATACCATCTTTCAACCTGCTTCACACTCTGCAAATTTTCTCCCAGGCACTCATGGTTTAAAAACACGTCTACACCAGTAGAAGGTATTTCCCCTTATGCGTGTGGAAAACATCTTCCTCACTAGCAATGTGGGACATCACAATCACACCCTCTTCGGTCAACGTCCTTATGGCGTAAGTCATGATCAATATAAAACAATACTAGATCTTGGGATGATCAATAATGGAAATCCTCACTAATAAATTTCTTAACCACTAGCAACTTCCGATTTTAAAGTTCTTAATATCCAAGAACATTTTCATAAAATTATACCGATAATCCTTTGGCAAATACATAATTAACATCGTCCTGAGGTGAGTTTAGAAGATTCTGCATTACTCTATGCTTCTGTAGGACCTGTGAAATGTTGAAGTGTGCTTAACCACCCTGTAGTATGCTTCTGTAGGACCTGTGAAATGTTGGAGTGCGCTTAACCACCCATAGGGAAGTAACTCAAATTATATTTACAGCCAGATAGAATGCAATGGAATGTCGACATATTCATCTAGAGTTTGTTTTATGTGTGGGAAGATCAATGAGTTTTCAATAAATGTAGGATTGCACTAAGGATCAATGTTTAGCCCATATTTATTTGCAATAATTATAGATAAAATAACATAAGACTTACAAGGGTACATTCCATAGTGCATGTTCTTTGCCGGCGATATAGTGCTTGTGGATTTACTTATCAAAAAAAAGATATAGTACTTGTGGATTTACTTATCAAATCTAATGAGAACTTAACAATAAAATTTAGAGTGGAAAATTGGGTTAAAATCTAAAGGATTGAAAATTAGTGTAACTAAAATTGAGTTTAAAAAGTAATTAAATTTAAGATTCAAATATTGTTACTATAATTATAGCACTTACGACTGAAGGATTGTTCGTAATAACCATATTCGATATTCGATATCTAGGATCAATAATTCAAAAGTATGTGTACTGTTTATTGTATGTATTGTGCCGTGTCATTTGTCTAGTATAAGATCTATGGATATAGGGTCAGTGTAGAGGAGTTAACCCCCTCCCCCCAAAAAAAAAAAACACCTTGTCGCTTGTCATAAGATATAGACAATTTTTATTAAAACTTTTTTTTTGTTTCTGGTTGTATAACTCTGTCTTGGGCTTACCAATGATTTTGGATTGATTGTGGATATCCAAAAGGAGTACTTTTGGCTACTTTTCATTCTATTGTTACTCTTTTCACTTACTTCAGTAAGTAAAATGTCAGGATATGTTGATGCACAAACTGGTACAGTTGGGAGATCTGATACTAAAGGTCCAACCGAAATCTCTGAAGGGAGCAGGGGATCTCAGGTACAATCATCTAATAATAGGCAAGGAGATGAAAATTTTCAGCTCAAGGGGAAAAATACATTTGCGGTGCCAAGAAATGTCAGGCCCCTTGGTTGGACCAGCACGAATAATCCAAAAACTGATGATGGAAACGCAGTAGGGGGAGACCAGAAACCGAAGTCCAATGATGAGTTCAGAAAAATGCTCCTAAAAAGTTGACTTTTGTAAAGCAGCACTATGACATAACTTGTATGGTTGGACATAAGGCTTGTATAAATTTCCTGGATGTACGCACTCAGATATTTTACTTATATGTACCACATCAACATTTGATCTTGAGTACCTTTTACCTGTTTAATTACCATGTGGATATGATTATGAGAAATGCAAGCCTTTTTTAGCACAAATATTTTTCCAGCCCAGGCCAAACTTTGTTGTTTGCCCAAATGAAGTAATTACATTTATATTAATCTGTTGCCATATCGTTATGTGACACTATGAAGGCAGTTGTGATTCTGTTTATATGAGACGTTGATGTGATCAATGTATGACTTGAGAAGTTCATAGTTGGATGAATGGTTTTGAGCATTGTAGATTTCTGCTTCTTTTGAAGAGAAGGTTGAGTATGAAGGAGTAACGATCTATTCCAGTTCTTTCACCAGAGTTTGGAGCTGCATGGTCAATACCAAATAGGTGAATTATTAGGCTTTGTTGTCTAGTCGAGAGCTTGGGAGTTGTATGGCCATGACGTTTCTTTTTATCGCAGGTAAAGCGAGCATAGTTCACAACATCCAAGAATTGGGGTGGTGCTGCCATTTTCATAGTAAACTGAAACAGGGGAATTATTGTTTATAGATGGCCCAGCAAAATTTTATAGCTCCTATGCGGTTCATATAATATAACAGGGTAGAAGGTGCAGCAGGATAGGGTTCTTTAGAATCAAATCTGATACAACCTTGATCACTAGGGCACACAAAAGAGATGGTAATGTTATTGCAGGGATTTTTTTAATTTTTAATTTTATTTTTTTCCTTGATATGTATTGCAGGTTCTGTAGCCGTAGAAAACATAGCCAAGGTCAAGCGATCAGCCGCAAAATATTCATTCCGGATGCACTGGAATTCAAATGTTAAGCTGTGGCGGTTCCAACGAGTTTATTCTGGTTAGTTATCCACGTCTTCCCTTTTATTACTCTTCTGATATCGTCTGCTTCTGTTTGTAATGACTGTGTTGGATGATTTATCTATTCTTCCACTTTTTGTACGTCTGTTGTTTGTGTGTGTGTAATTAATTGTTCTATATAATGCTTTTTTATCCTGGGCAAGTTATTCCATCTAATGCTTTTTTTCTAGTTGTTATTATCATTGTTGAAAAAGTAAGAAAGATGAAGCAACAATAGGAATGCTCAATGACCAGTAACCTTTTCCTTTGTTCTCTTTGCCTTCCGAATTACTCTTTTGTTGAAAGTTCGATTCAATTTCTGATAACAGTTTTTTATTTTTTATTTTCATGAGACACGAATCAGTTCAAAAATTAACTTTTATCAGTTGACAGACATAAAAGGATTCTAAGGCATGTTTTATTCATTTTATTATTATTATTATTATTAGAGTTAAAAATTGAAAAACAGTTCAAAGTTTGTTTAATTAACAGTTCCTCTAAATTGGAAAGTAGAGTTTAGATTCAATTAGCTGATATTATGTTTGCAAAATTCCTAAAAATAGAACTAAACCAAATAGTTTCTTAAATTTAGTGTGCACTTTATTTTAATTTTTTAAACGTTGTTTCTAGTCTAGTTTTGAGAAAATAATATGGAGAAAAAAGCCTGCTATGTAAGGTCATTGGTGATAGGGATAAAAAATTGCAAACAAAAATTCTGTTTGCAATTTTACCCCTTAGGAAAGTGGAGTGACCGGTTAGCTAATATGATCTCTCAATAAAAAATTGAGTATTCAAGTTTCATTAGTGGCAATATTACGGGTGTGTGCGAGTTTGCTCCCAAAAAATAAAAAAATAAATAAATTGGATTGACTCCATAATCTGCTCATGTGAGAAAAAATAAAAGTGAAATCCACCCACAACATTTGCGACTCTGCTTCAAGTGCATTGTACAGCCAATGTAATTTATTAGGATTCTTACACGCAACAACCATGGTGACAGTGCACACACACACACACACAAAAAAATGAGCATACATGTACGAAAAACTTGTAATCACAAGTAGAGACGAGTGATGCCAAATTGGTTTTACTTTAGTGTGTGGTTTGATGAACGAACACATTGGTATTCCACTATAGACTAGAGTCTAGTCTGTATGAGCACGGCCTATTGTTGCCTCCCAAAGTGCTTATCTTGTATCCAACTGTTTGTCTGTTTTCACCTACAAATCTCTTATCCACATGTTGGTTGGTATGCAGACTGCAGTACATGGTACGGAATGCAACTTTATCACAATTACTTTCAAATTTTACCACTTTCTGTGATTAATTTTGCCACCGTAAACTTCGTTACTTTGAATTTCAACAATTTAGATGGTGAATTTTATCATTTTTACGTTAGATTAAAAGTGGATGAAATATCACACCAGTAAATGAGAAGAAAAAGTTGTCCAAAAGGATTTTGATTCGTCCATGTATTGTGTCCTAGCCACTCATATTACATGTTGACATGTTTTTTTATTGGGATTTGGGGTTTTGAGGCGACTAGGGTTTCCATTTGCTAGGATTTTCTCATCCACTTAAAGTGTGGAGGTCGGACTATGTGCAATGCAAGTGTTCATCCGCCTTTTATAGTGGCGCGGCTTTAAATATTGGATCAACCTTTCTATCATCCATGTGTTCTTAAAAGGGGGCAAACTCAGAGTTCCATGTTTCTGTTGTTGCAGAGTCTGAGAAAAAATAGAAATGATTTTCCAATTTTATTCCATAGTGATTCAAAAAGAGTTTCATTTTTGAATGAAGTTCCACAAATTAGATGTACACTAGTCTTCACAAGCGTGGTGCAATTTTATTATTGTGTCAAGGTTCGCCCTCCCACATGTGCCCCACCAGAGAAACATCTTGGAGGAGTGATTCCCTTATAATTTGGATTAAGTACTAGTTTTCTTTATTTACCGAAAATTAAAAGAAGTACTAGTTTTTTTGAGCATACAAAAACCAAAAAAAGCAAACAAAACCTACGTACATTAATAAAATAGTGAATTTGCTTTATCGTTTGAATGGTAGATTTAGGGGTCTATGGATATTATACTTTATGAGAATGAACCGCGATCTTTCACAGGATATGAGGAATGTCAGAAGAACGCAACCTTATTTAACGAGGGTATGTTAAATAAAATTAAGGCCAATAAATATTTTTATAGATCACAATGAATGTTAGATTTGTGACAATAGCAGGGTGTTATTGGTAAAATTAGACAATCCTTCGTCAAAAAAAAAAAAAAAGAAACAGTAAACTTGTGAAGTAAAAAGTGAAGTGTGAATGTGAAGTTTTAATCATATTTTCTGTTCCTAACAGTGAATTGAAAAATGAAGTGTGAATGTGTATGTGCATAAGGTGGAAGTGGTAATGAGACGCGGAGAGAACGAGACGAATGAAATGAAATGGGCCCTAAATGTGGCCTAAGATATGAGCATAATACACACACTCTCTCTCTCTCTCTCACACACACACTCTCTCTCCACTTTCTGCAACTCTTTGGATCACGCAAATGCACTTTAACCTTTTTAAATGTTCTTAAATACAATGATGTAATGTCTCTACGTGCTCAATTATTAGCCATATGTATGTCCCAACTCACCCTTTGGCTTTCCTAATTTAATATTAAAATTGAATTTTTATGCCATAGAAATGTTACCTATGCAAACAAATGTTTTGGCAAAGTTATAGACATCACATTTTACCTTATTATTATATATTGAAAAATATTCATTTCGTTACAACTAGTACTCCAATTAAGAACAGTGTGTATAGGAAAGTAATGCTATCACTCTATTTGGATGAGTTGCATTGTTGCACAGTCTTTTCCTCGAGATTGTTAGATAATATATGATGACATATGAATTTACTCGGAACGCCCGCTTAAATAAAGGGGACAAGTGCATAAAACACTCTTAAAATATATTTCGCATAATATTTTTACTCCCTAAAGTATACCAAGAACGTGACCTTATATAAAGATTATATATATATTGGTAATTTTAGTAATGGTTTGTATGTTAGAATTTGAATAGTGAAACTGTAAACTTTTTTCTTCTTTTTTTGATTGATGAAGTTGGCGCCGAGCCTCTGAGAGCACCGCTATTAAGTTCACTATCAAACACATACAATTCTCCCATTTAAAAATATTGGGATACAAATTAAGTTCAAATGATCACCTAGGGCCTAAGGCTTGTGGCAATCTCCTAGGAGCATGTTGAAAATTAGTGGTTTTCTTATATAATTAAGAGGTGAGATACATGAATTAATTTCACATGACTGGAAGAAGATTTTCTTGTTGCTCTCTTTTTTCTCAATTCATCAAATAAAACAAGAGTCGTGATATAACGTTTTAAAGTCGGATAAATCTGATTGTATCTATGTGAATGGAAGGTGATGTCATGATGATATCATATCATAAAATAGTTGGATTTGTCCGATTTTTGAATCAATTATCATTTTTTCTTTAAAAAAAAAAACCATCTTTGGAGATACAAAATCATCAATTAAAATAAGAGTATGATACAATATTCGAAAGTCTAATACATATGACTGCATTTGTGTGAGTAAAAAATGATGTCATGATATCATCCCCATTCATATAGAATAGTCGGACATCAGGTACCATTTTCCTTAAACTAATAATGAGGTATTTGGAGAAATGAAAATCCAAAGCATGGAGTAGCAAGGGTATTTGCTTTAGTAGACCTATCTTTTTCGCCATGGTATATAGCTAGGATTGTTGTAGAATAAAGAGCACTACTGACGAGAGAATGTGAATTAAGAGTTTAGAAAAAGCAAAGAACAAAGCAGTATTCTCTACTTCTTTCTTTGCTAGTGACCTCATCTATATATATATATATATATATATAGAATGGAACTTCCGTGTCTTAAAAATGAGATTACACTCCATTTTGCTAGTGATAGTGTAAATTTAAGGCATTTAATTTGATTTAAATCATCAATTGCCTAAAATATTGCTTAATATCGTCAAATTACCTGTAAAATAATTAAACTACATCAACCCAAGCAGGCGATCTCATGACTGTCACTCCAAATTTTTATTGTTGCACCCTCCATTAAAGGAAAATAATAGAAGAAAATTTTAATTAATTAATTTTATGACACTAATTATAAAATTCTA